CGCAACTATTAGGGCTTTTTTGTTGGCATTTTCCTTTAGTTGCCAGCTCTCGGAGCCCCCTTGTTTGCTTGACCCATATTCTTGAGTCAGGAATTCAATATTTATTCCATGAAATATTCATAAAGAAGTAGTATTTCTTTGGCACCGGTTTTTACGAGATGTGGTATGTCATCCACAAGTCGATGAAAGGGTCAAGGTATACGCGTGTAATTTTTAGTTTTATTTCATCAACTATGTCTTACTTTTGAGTTATGTAAAACTATCAAAATTAATAAAATACCCTAGATAAAAGATTGCTCACTTATTCTACATTACGTAGATCAAGTAGGCACTGGAACTTATAATTTCTTTTTATAAATACGAAATTATGCTCAATTTGGCATATCGACAAAATGTCTGGTTTTGAATAGTATAATAAAAATATTATTATAATTATGGTAGTATATACAGACTTCTCAAAAGATTTTGACATGATTAAACATTGTATTTTATCCAAAAGTTGAATGCAATTGGTTTTCATGGCCATTTACTGATTTGGATTGATCCTAAATAATAGGATCCAATATTTTATCATGATATCCCATCCAATCCCATTGTGGTCACATCTGGTGTTCAGCAAGGAGGACATTTATCACCTATATTATTTAATATGTTGATAAATGACATTGACTTTCTTCGCTAGTCTCCATAAAGGACCTAGGGGTAATTTTTGATTCTCAGTTAACGTTCCTTGAACATATAGAATATAAAAAACAAAAGCCGAAAAATGCTAGGTTTCGTTAAGCATCATGTAACTAATATAAATAAAATTAATGTAATTAAAAACTTCGCTTTGGTCAGGTCCCAGTTAGAGTATAACTCACCTGTTTGGTCACCCTACTACAGTATTCATTAGAGAAAGTGCAAAACAAATTTTTTAGATTCTGTGGACTCGAACTACAAACACGTTTTGAACCAGACGGCCAAACCTTTCAACTGAGATCCAAATTAGATATAAATTCACTAGAATCTAGAAGAACAATGACTGAATCTCTAATATTGTTTAAAATAATTAACAATGTAATGAAATGCCCCTCCTACTAGAAGAGATAAAATTTCACGTACCTGCCTAAAAAAATAGGCAAACAGAGTTGTTTTATATAGCACACCATAAAAACAACGATATGAAAAATTCACTAGTTTTCGTGGTCCGCTTGGCCAATCTTTCAATTAATTAAGGTTCTTAGTTGAGATAAAAAAAATCAGTAGAAATGATAAATGATGGAGTGAGTGTGGTGTTCAATCCTTTTTAAAAAGATAGTTCCTACTTACAGTAAGTTGTTTTGCAACGATCCGGATTTCGAGCCTTTTAACTCATCATCGGGTTGAAGGACTTCTACAACCACGTCTCTCGACATGAATAGCCAAAGTGAACCCGCTTATACCGCCGCCAACGCGACGTTCCAATTAGCAGCTGATTTGTTTAATGACGCTCAATTTGAACGTGAAAAACGCGGAAATTATAACACAAATAAATATTATACTAGTAAATACTTAATATTATTTTTTTATAGTAGTAGTTTATAGTAATTTAATAATATTAAGTATTTACTAGTATAATATTTATTTGTGTTATAATTTCCGCGTTTCGCAGTTCAAATTGAGCGCCATTAAAAAAAATCAGCTGCTAATTGGAACGTCGCGTTGGCGGAGGTATCAGCGGTTCACTTTGGCAATTCATGTCGAGAGACGTGGTTGTAGAAGTCCTTCAACCTGATGATGAGCTAAAAGGCTCGAAATCCGGATCGTTTCAAAAACAACTTACTGTGAGTAGAAACTATCTTTTTAAAAAGGATTAAACAAATCAGTGTCACGAGCAGGATTCGAACCCACGATCTTCGGCGAGATGCTCTATCACTTGAGCTATCGTGACCTCAATCCACTCGGACACTAATTTCCCATCTCAACCCCACATTTTGAATTTTTCCTCCTTTTTGCCATTTTTCAAACGGTTCAAAAAGTGGGGTTGAGTTGGGAAGATAGTGTCCGAATGGATCGAGGTCACGATAGCTCAAGTGGTAGAGTAGCGGCGTATCAAGCCGAAGATCGTGGGTTCGAATCCCGCTCGTAACACTGACTTTTTTATTTAAACTAAAAACCTTAATTATATGAAAAATGCTCCGCTGGAAAGGACTTATAAAATACTAAACTGTACAAACGACCAACTAGATATATTTCACCAGTCACAAAACTGTTATAAAAAAGAATTATTTCCAATTCCAAACCACTGAAGGAAATCATGTATATAGTCTGATTTTATTTATAAGTAAATATTTGCCTCTATTATGAAGTTTGTAATGTATACATACTGTGTAAATGGAAACATTTTCCGTAAATATTAAAAAATACCGTATCATCATTACGTTGAATTGTGTATTTTTTTAAATTTATTTATTTGTTTAAATACGTGGGGCGATGAACCTTTTTATTGACTATTATTGATCATATTGTGTTTTTTTTTTTTTTTTAATGAGACGCGATTAGGCAATTCGCCATCTTTAATAATCACAAACATAAAATGGACAAGATTGAGGAAATAACACTTCGACCAAAAGGCGAAAACCAAAACGCGTCTGGAAAACCAACTGGCAGACAGGATGCTCGGAAACTACAGATAATTTCGACATAATTAATATTAGACAGATATTAGATATAACTTTAATAAATAACTTTATGTGTTATTCTTGTTTTTTGTAATTATTTTATTTTTGGGGAAATAAGGGGCTCGGGTGTTTACGGCGTCTGACTCGTATTTGGCACGCTGGAGGTTCTGGGTTCGAATCCTAGCACAGGCACTTTTATTTTTTTTTATTTTTTAAGTGCTTTGATCACACTCAACGGGTAGTTAGACGTTGTGTGTATCGGTATGAGAGAAGGGTTTCTTGAAAAAAAAGGCCATGACCTAAGGTTGGAATCGAACCCACGGCTGCGGGATCTACGAGCCGAGAATCTATCATGCTGGCCACTCGGCTATCGCAGCATGATACGATGATGATGATGATAAGAACCCACATCCCATTAAATAACTACGTCTCGATATAACTACCTCCTAGTCTCTTATTTGATCGTATTGAATTCGAGATGGATTAATTTAACCCAAGTCCTTTGGGTACAGTGCTGACTCCATGAATAGTGTCAGTATTGGGACCGAAAAAAAGTACCTCATAGGCACATATTTTTAATATTTATTTTTATATATACAGGCTACAAATAAATTATATATTAAAAAACCCGCACTCAACCTAACCACAACATAACCCTCTTACCTAACCTAACCTAACCTCTCTTACCCTTATCTAACCTAACCCCTGCACACTTTTCTTTAAGGAGAAATCGATTACACGAAAATTCTCGCGTAAAAATGCATATACATATTTCTTGTTGTTGCGGAAATGTAAAAAAAAAATATATATATATATAGAAAACAGAGGATCTTACTTTAGTTGACTGTATAATCTGAAACCCCACATCGGTCATTCTTTTCTGTGCTTCACCAAACTAGATTTCACCAATCAAAGAAAAGAAAAAGGAAAAATAGGGTTTAACGATAGATTGGGTATAACTTTAAATAACTATAAAGTGATTCGTGTTTTCTTAAACCGCTTGATAAATTATTTCTACTTACGTTGATCACTGATTTTTACCTGCTGTTTTCTAGCAAATATAACACGCATCTTCCAGATTGTTAACTACAAAAGTTTTCTTTTTAATTAATTGATTTGTACTTTAGACATGTTTGTACAATTACAAATGTGATAACAAAACTTGTTTTGATTCGGACACAGCACTAACACTAATGCCAGGGCTGCACCCGGAAGACATATGCCTTAAGAAACCAATGCGAGTGAAGTATTAAGGGGCAAGTAAAACGAGGTGGCGGGTTCTCGGGAGCTCGAGCAGTAGGTTACGATTGGGAATTAGGAACGGACCAGTTCGTTGGCAAATGTCGTCGTGGATAGTGCTTTGACAATTTATCTAAGGACTTTTGGATTGTAAGGGTTAGTTGAGCCGAATGTTAGATGGCTTGGCATAACCTCACAGTTCCACGCCATATGTCCAAAGTGGTCACAGTAAAGTCTTGTATTAGGTTGGTTTAGCATTGATGGCTTTCGGTCCTAGAAGTTTTCGTACATGTCCAAGTTTTATGTTACGTTGTCTCTTAAACCTAAAGCGGCTCCTAGACGATCAATATTATTGCACAATATTTTGGGTTGTGCAATTTAATTGATCGTGTGTAGACGATATTGAAAGTTTGTGCAATACATTGCACGATTGACGAAAAGTTGAAAATATATTGTACAACCTGGAATATATTGCACCGTCTGTTGGCATTATTGCGCAATATCAGTCAGTTTGTGAAGTACAACAAGTAGTAACAAAATATTGCACAAACTTCAATATCGCCTTCAAACTATTCAAGTTCATTGCACAATCAAAATTTTGTACAATATTATTGAACGTTAAGGGGCAGCCGTCAAATTATTGTGCATTCTATATTGTACAATAATATTGACCGTCTATGGTCCGCTTTATGTTGGCGTTCCACGTCAGTCTGATGGGTAGGTATAATCCTGTATTTTGTAGTTGATGTACAGTGGAGGACAAGACTGTTTTTTCAATAAAACTTACATTAAGTATAGTTTTCTTCATTAAGTATTATTCTCCTCTTTTTGCACAAGTTCGAAGCTCAAGGTTTGGATGTTGGAGGTAGCTTGGATAGGATTTGAGTTAGAAAACAAAATAGCCCTGTGGTCAGTGTAGGTAGTGAGGTGGTGGTAGGGTGTATAGGTAGGTATAAATGATACAAAGAATGGGACTAAGAATGCTCCCTTGTGGGACGCCGGCTTGTGTCGATCTAATTTCCGAGAATTCGTTGCCGTTTATTTCAGGTAATAAACAATATTTAAATTATGTATTTTAAAAACGATTTGGCAATTTAAATAAAAAACTCACAAATTTTCAAAATAATTAATTTATATATAAAAAAATACAAAAAGTACTATACTTAGGTATAGAAGAATTAGGAAAATAGTATGGACAGGGAAAGGCCTCAATGGTGGTGATGCCCATCCCAATAGTCTTCTCCTCCAACGCCGTACGGTGGGTAGTGAGTAGTGTTGAGAAAAAATGTTCCTCTCAGTCTGAAAAAAATTGTTTAATAGTTTTTCCCACTTTCCGAAGAAAAGATTGTGTGTCAATCGTCAAACGGAATTTCGCTTACTTTGGACAGACCAAATAGCCCATGTAGATGCCTTTCGATTCGTCTATGGGGCATTTTCCATGCTTGAAATCCTTTTCGGAATGGCAAGGTGCTGCGGGGAAATTAAACGGATGTCTCACGGTCTCTGCGTAATATTTCCATGCTCTGCTGTGACTGCAAGCAACTGAAGAAGAAATTTTAAAAAAGGGATGATATTTTTCCTCACGACGCATTTATAAATTTATCGCTTTGATTACATAAGTTATAAGCTAAACAAAATATCTTTTTATTATTTATTTAATATGAATAATTAATTGAGCCAAAAATGAACAAATTTTTGCTATTTTTCTCTCACGTATGAACAAATAGATCGCTTTAACTTTTGACATTTTCGAATAAGAGACTTCTAAGGCTCTCGATTGAATTTGCATTGCTAGAAACGTCAAGACTTTGGAAAGGGCCCACTTTCGACGTGGCCCATGTTAAGCATACATGCACGGCGGACACACTATTTATCAAGGAACCCTTGTAAATCTTGCTTTCCTGCTAAATTATGGTCTCCACTTCCCGCTCCGGCTAACACACCGCCTTCACGGAAGCCCATTCGTTAACTGAAATGAAACCTTGGTAAAATGTTTATGGCAAAGCTCGATTTTTCAACCGTTGTGAGGTTTATCTGCTTGTTTTATGTGTGTTTATGTACTTTGTAAAGACAGTTTTTTACGACTGGTGTGGTTATTTTATCGACCCTTATTTTTTATTATTCTATGTATTCTAAAACACTGGTTATATCACAATAGCATAATTAGCATTATAATATTACAAAAAAGCAATGAAAATGGGTGTGCCTTTTTAATTGTTGCATCTAGTTTTATTAGCATTAAAATCTATAATTAAGACAAGAAATTTTGTTATTTCCTACTAATTTTACATTTAAAAAAATTGTAAAAAAATCCAGACTACGAGAAAATGGTTGATGTAAAAGTAATTAAGGTAAAAATTGGGTAGTTGAAACAGATTGGATTTAATATAGATTTGTAATTTATAAAATTATTTTTAACTATTGTCAAATAGGGTGGTCTGAGAAAATTCAACCTGAGAATAGCCCTGGACAAAAAATTTCCCTTATCTGACCATGTAAAAAGGGATGATTAATAAGGGCAGGATAGCCACCAGGAGCCAATTCCCACTTATGTCCTGCAGCTCTGGCTGAAAAACAACATGAAAAATAAACTACTCATTTACAAAGTAGTAAAACATATTTTACTCTATGCATGCCCTGCCTGGAACTACACTTGCACATTAGATATTAACATAAATCCATGTAACACAAAGTAAATATTTGAAGATTATCACTACTTCTCCACGTCCATCCTTCATGACCAAACAATAATGAGCTGGATAAGAGAGGAAATCCAACGCTAAAATATATTTGAAATTGATAAAATTATTGTTAACGATTGTCAAATAGGGTGGTCTGAGAAAACCGAACCTGGGAATAGCCCTGGACAAAAAATTTCACTTATCTGACCATGTCAAAAGGGGTGATTAATAAGGGAAGGATAGCCACCAGGAGGCTATTCCCACTTATGTCCTGCAGCTCTGGCATGAACATGAAAAATAAACTACTCATTTACAAAGTATTAAAACATACTTTATGCATGCCCTGCCTGGAACTACACTTGCACATTAGATATTAACAAAAATCCAAAAAACACAAAATAAATAGTTAAAGCTTATCACTACTTCTCCACGTCCATCCTTCATGACCAAACAATAATGAGCTGGATAAGAGAGGAAATCGCTGCACTGAATTTTTTTTTTATAATGATGCCAGAACATAAAAATCCTACGTGTCAAGAAACAGACAATAATAATATCCATCACCCCTGGAAGCACAGGAGAATAAAACACATCCTGATATGATAATTTATTTATTCATATATAACTTATTTTCTAAAAGATTGTTAATTATTTATTGTTGTTGCTATTATTATTTCTGAATTTAATATTTATGTATATAATGTATTCAGCGTACTTATACCTAGTTCTTGAGCTTTTATTGTATGATTAATTTATTTTATTTATTAATTTGGAATTTGGTATATTAATACCTGATAAGTCAAAATTCTAAATTAATATTGGTTTCTGTTTTTCGTTATATTTTTCCACAATAATATGCATGCGAACCGGTTTAAGTATTTTGAAGTGTGTCTTGGTGTATAAAATACTACCGAAATTGTTACTGGATGTAATGGTACCCCGCCATTTCACCCTTTACTTTATAACCTACCGGTTAAATTATAAACAATTGTAAACATTAATGAAAACTTGAAAATGATTAAGTCATACCAATAGAAATCTAATTTGCACGTAACAATTATAGAACTTTTATTTTTTACGTTGGACAAACCAAAAACTTTATTTAACTTACAAAAACAATATAAAATTTATTTAACATTAATTTAACTGCGAACGAATGATAACCAATTTTTTTGGCCAAAATGATAAAGATTTTATTTGAATACGTCAAAAAAATATTTTGTTAAAAATTAATAAAAAATTGGATTCACTTGTTTTCGTGGTCCGCTTGACCAATTAATATCTTTCAATTAATGAAGGTTTTCAGTTGAGATAAAAAAGTCAGTATCACGAGCGGGATTCGAACCCACGACCTTCGGCTAGATAAGCCGCTACTCTCTTAATTAATATATTTTATCTCTTAATTAATTGAAAGATATTAATTGGTCAAGCGGCCCACGAAAAATAGTGAATTTAATAAGTAAAATGAAGTATATCTTCACTAAAGCTCTCCGTTGCCATTTCGTTTGTCGCCGAGAATCAAATAGATTACACGACATTTGAAAAATGGCAAAAAAGAAGGAAAATCCAAAAGGTGGGGTTGAGATGGGAAGTTAGTGTCCGAGTGGATCGAGGTCACGATAGCTCAAGTGGTAGAGCAGCGGCGTATCTAGCCGAAGGTCGTGGGTTCGAATCCCGCTCGTGTCATTGACTTTTTTATCTCAACTACAAACCTTAATTAATTGAAAGATAAAAAATTGGGCTAAGTCAGACTATCAGAAACCTTATTGCAGTACATAAAAATTAGAAAATTTGTATTGACTACAAAAGATCCATAAAGTCTATTTCATTTATAAGAACGGTAAAAATTTATTTTACTATAACAAAACTGTAGAACTTTATTTGATTGCATCAGACCAATGGAATTTTTTTTTTGGCATTATCAGACATAACAAATATTTATTAGACTACGCCAGACCAAAGGAAATTTTATCTGACTATGTCAAATAAATAGAAAGCTTTATTTAATTACGCCAGATCAACATAAAACTTTATTTGACTTCATCAGACCAATAAAATCTTTATTTGACTACATCAAACCAAAAGAAATTTTTTTGGGCATTGTCAGACCAACACAAACATTTATTAAACTATGCCAGACCATCGTAAAACTTTTTTACTTGACAGTCAAACAAAACCTTGATTTAGCTACGTAAGAACAACTTAAACTTTATATCACATTTACGAACAAGAGAAACTTTCTATGACTACGTCAAACTGATAGCAACATCCAAGAAATCCCATAATTGACCTGCGAGATCACACATTGAGCCTATTTATGGTAAAAGTATTTTTTCAATGGACATAAATTCACCTGGAAAATCTCGAAACATTAACATGTAAAATAGAAGAGGACCAATCCTAGCAATGAAAGCACGAAATGACCCACATTTTCTTGGTAAACAGGGAGATATAACCTGGGTACTAAAAGATAATGCACTAGAGTTGTATACAAAATTTCCTTTAACAAAAAAAAATTATAATAAATAAAACGGAAATTCATTAAATTGTTGAAAAAACTAATAAATTGTGAAGAGTAAATAAACTTACTGAATTCCTCCAAGTTCTTGGTTCTGGCGAAATCCTCGACGGCGCAGCCCGGCTGCGCCGGTGTGCCTCCGTTGGGGTAGAAGTCCGCGTGTCCCATGGGCATCAGGAAGCCGAGGATGCCCCCGTCTGTGTGGACGACGTCGACGAAATGGGCGTCGTCAGGTGAGAGCTGCTGATCTGGGCTTTTGTGGCTGTAAAGCGGCTTCGCCGGGTCGAGACCTGAGGTTAACAGGCAATCGAAAGCGTTAGAATGGTTATCGATGATTTGAAGTGTTTTTGTTTTTCTGCCAGTTGAAGACATCTCTCACCAAAAACCCCCCAAAAAATGAAAAAGTACCAGTTATTCTCGACAATTTTCCAGATTTGACAAGATTGCCGACGAGGCCTGCGATTTCAGCACCCAGGCTAAAACCGATGACGTGGAATTTGTGGAGCGGCACGCCGCTGTGCACATGGTCGTCGATGAATTTGGCGACCGCTTTGGCGACATAAAGGGTGTTCTTTATCGCGTGGTCGTACCATGGCAGAGCTGCCAGTTTTCGCCAATCGACAAGAATTATGTTTACCGTGGTCCTCGTCATGAATGCTGAAAATAACAAAACAAAGATGTCATTATGATGTCTAAATGTGTGTATGTTCGGTATGATTTTATTAGACAGGAATTTTTATTTCGCATATATATNTCATATATATTGTTTTTAAGCAATCTCCTATACAATTAATATCACCACTCAATGTTTTATCTTAAAATTCATGGTTAAGAGCCATTAGTAAGAAAAAACTTCGTAGAGCTTTCAAGAAATCCCCTGCATCATCATTGAAATCTGTATTGGTACATAATGAAATTATTTGTTTAAGGAGATTGACTTCACGAGAATATGGTATTTCATTATAATTTTGTGCTATCATTCTTGCCTGATATCATTGTTTCATAATATTAAACTCACTCATTCACTCGCTCGCTCTCTCACTCTCTCTCTCTTTTTATATCGTTAATTATATGAGGAGGCGATCTAAATTTGAGAAATGTCATTCCTTCATTTTCTCTCTCTCTTTTATTTTCTCTCTCTTTGATCACTCACTCTTTCTTACACTCTTTCTATCTCTTTGTTACTCTCATTCTCAATTACTCTCAATTACTCATTCTCATTCTCCCACTGTCACACTTTCTCGTTCTCCTTTCCTCACTATCACGCTCTCTCTCTCTCTCTCACTCTCTCTCTCTCTCTCTCTTTTATTTTCTCTCTCTCACTCTCACTATCTCTCTTATCCACCCACTCTCACTATCTCTCTCATCCACCCACTCTCTCATTCTCTCTCTCTCTCTCTCTCTCTCTCTCTCTCTCTCTCTCTCTCTCTCTCTCTCTCTCTATCTATCTATCTATCTATCTATCTATCTATCTATCTATCTATCGTTAATTATATAAGGGGGCGATCTAAATTTGAGAGATGTTATTCATTCATTTTCTCTCTCTCTTTTATTTTCTATCTATCACTCTCTCTCTCTCTCTCTTTCACTCTCACGCTCTCTCTTTCTCCCTTCCTAACTATCATGTTCTTTCTCTCTCTTTTATTTTCTCTCTCTCACTCTCACTATCTGTCTCACCCACCCACTTTCTCCCCGCTCTCTCTCCCTCTTTCTCTCTCTCTCTCTCTCTCTCTCTCTCTTTCCCTCTCATTCTCTTTTATCATTCACTCACTCTTTTTTTATACTCTCATTCTCACACATCATTGACATTCTTACTGTCACGCCCTCTCGTTCTCCCTTCCTCAATATCACGCTCTCTCTCTCTCTCACTCTCTCTCTCTCATTCTCACTGTCTCCCTCGCCCACACCCCTTTCTCACTCTCTCTCACTCTCATTCTCTTTGATCACTCACTTACTCTTTCTCTTTTTTACTTTCATTCTCACACTCACTTATTCACATTCTCCCTTTCACTCTCACTATCACGCTCTCTTTCTCTATTTAATTTTCTCTTTCTCACTCCCACTATCTCTCTTATTCACTCACTTTTCTATCTCACCCTTTCACTCTCATTCTCTTATATCACTCACTCACGCTTTATCTTTTTTTACTTTTATTCTCACACTCACTTATTCACATGAGAATGTCACTCTCACTGTCACGCTCTGTCGTTCTCCCTTCCTCACTATCACGCTCTCTCACTCTCTCTCTCTCTCTCTTTCTCTTTCACTCTCATTCTCACACTCACTCATTCACATTCTCCCTTTCAGTCTCACTGTCACGCTCTCTCCCTCCCCTCTCTCTCTCTCTCTCTCTCTCTCTCTCTCTCTCTCTCTCTCTCTCTCTCTCTTTCTTTCTTTCTTTCTTTCTTTCTTTATCTATCTCTCTATCTATACCTTAATTTAAATATGTCAGATTTTTTACATAAAAAGCGTTTCTTTTCTCGCTCTCTCTCCCTCCTTCTCTCTCTTTCTCTGTTTATCTAAAACATGAACACTAGCATAATTACTATACCATCTTTCCCTTTCTCAGTTCACGCCCTAAACTTATGGACATTTTGACAATAATATTGGAAACAATAATCATTTGTGTGTGTGTGTGTGTGTGTGTATTTTTATCGGTATAATTACCATCTTTCATCTCTTGGCCGCCTGGACCGCTAGCTTGTTCTGAAAATCCATGGATGTAAATCACATTTGTCTTTCCGTTATGAAGAATTTCCTTCTGGTCCTTCTCATTATACTGCTGGTAGTAGAAATGATGACGATCCCTAGGTGGAAAGAAAAAAAAATCCTTTGAAATCTTTCAACTTGATAATATTACGGCAGAGATCGACCCAGTGCATCGTATCTCGGTCGGTTATGGTTTAAAAAATTTACCCCCTTCAAGGCGATGAAGAAGAGTGAAGAACGGAGTTTTCCGGGTGTAGAAAAATGACATAGCCATGAGCAGAAGTTAAATAGTTTTGTTCATTTGTGAGAGTGGGCTCTCGTTAATTTCACACGAACGTTCACTAATTCGTCTTCCCTTTCCTACCATTTTTTCCTTCTTTACGACAATAAAATGTCACAAATTACGACACTAATGATTCTTAACATAAGCTTAAGTCGTCTACCTAATGTCCTTGTTTAAACAGATCCTTGAACAATTTCAACTTATTGTGAGATCTGTTAAGATTTTTTATAAAAACAGTGAAATATTCATTTAACGTTGCCTAACATAAACAATAATATTTCTTATTAACACAAAACATTCAAGACTGTGTTAATAGGTCACCGGCCATACCGGCACAGACGGCCAATGTTTTACATTGCATCACAGCGAAATATAAAAATTCCACTTCCCGTTCTTTTTTCCTTCTCGACTAATTTTACAATTTGACAGAAATTTTACTGAAAATAGTGCTTAAATAACATACATTATTTAGGCAATAGTGTTACAGTCCTTGGAAATATTGGGACTAAACTTGGTCTTCAAAGAAATTTCAATGTGCAGACACATTTAAGATTGTTTTCCCTGAATTATAACCTTGAAAAAGCTCGATAGGTCTTCAAAAAAATTTGAAACCATCTATTAGCATAATTATGCCGATTTGTAGACATATTTAGGATTGTTTTTCCTGATAATATCCTTGAAAAAACTCGTTAGGTCTTCAAAGAAATTTGAAACCATCTATTAGCACAATTATGTCGATTTGTAGACATATTGAAGATTGTTTTTCCTGATAAAATCCTTGAAAAAACTCGATAGGTCTTCAAAGAAATTTGAAACCATCTATTAGCACAATTATGTCGATTTGTAGACATATTGAAGATTGTTTTTCTTGATAATATCCTTGAAAAAACTCGATAGGTCTTCAAAGAAATTTGAAACCATCTATTAGCATAATTATATCGATTTGTAGATATTATTTAAGATTGTTTTGCCCTGATGATGATGGTCTTAAAATCACAATCCTTGGCAATTGGTTATAGGTCTGTCTTCAAGAGTGTTGATTTCAAAGAAATTTGAAACCATCTATTAGCATAATTATGTCGATTTGTAGACATATTTAAGAATGTTTTTCCCTGATTATAACCTTGAAAAAGCTCGATAGGTCTTCAAAGAAATTTGACACCATCTGTTAACATAATTACGTCGATTTGTAGGCCTTTTGAAGATTGTTTTGTCCTGATGATGACCTTAAAATCACAGTCCTAGGCAATGTTGTGTATAGGTCGGTCTTCAAAGAAATTTGAAACTATCTATTAAAACATAATTATTTCAATTTGTAGACATATTTAAGGTTGTTTTGCCCTGGTGATGACCTTACAAAAGGTCTAATGCTTGGCAGTAACAAGTGAATATTTTCATACAGACTGAGATGCAGTTTATTCGTGATTCGAAGAATAAACATGTATGTATTGGTAATATTATTCAGGTGGATAAGATTAAAGGAAAACGTTTAATTCTCCGCCATCATAACTAACCAAATATATTTTATATATGAGGTGCTGAGAGCCAGAATGGACCTTCCCACATTTTATTCGGAAAATTTCGTTCTTTAACCAAAAATATTAACCTATGATTATTTTCTCGAAATAACTGTTGGCGAAGAAGGTCCATTATGGCTCTCAGCTCTTCATGTTGTACATATGTTGAATCTGTACTCTGCTAACTTTTTAGAAAATAATCTATGTCTATACCAATGTTTTCTTCTTTTTGCGGAGAGACCTTTATGTTCAACATAACCTGCAGATTGTCCTTAGTTAATTCCCGCGATTTATCATCACTAAAATGAACTGTATAAAAGATTTGGAAGCTAAGATAAGCGAGAAGAAGAAGGAGATGATGGACTTTTATGATCATTACAGATCCATAAATAATTTTAACTTTCTTACTTAGAAATTTAATCATTTTTTAACAACTCTGGCTTATTGTCATTTAGAACATTATTAAACAATGGTTACAAGTCACTCGGCTGTATATAGTTGAAACCCTAAAATATAAAATAACTTTAACAATTTAAACACTATCTCCGGTGTAGGACATTAGGCGACAATAAACTTATAATGACAACATATTTTTTTATGATAAATTGTCTTTGGCTACAAAACTCTTATTGGGCAATTTTTAGGTGACTGGACTTACCTTCCGTAGATGTGGAATGTGACGTCGTCTTCTTCCATCGGACAGCATAATTTACAATGTCCTTTCGGCAATATGAGTGCGGTGTAGGGTGTGCCGACTGCAATATTTTTTTAATTTGATTGTTTTAGTTTAAATTACTCATAAAAATACAAATTAAATATTGTTTTATGGAAAAGGCTTTATAAGAAAACCTCAAACTCTTTATGATAACTCTCTATATCCCTGAGCAGAATTTCCCCTAATTTTAATAATCAGTGAAAAAATTTCATTCCTCACCATATGTAATTGTGATGGGTGTGCATAAAAGTTGTAGGATTAGAGAAATCGGGTATACCAACATCGCGAGGAAAAAAAATCAACCACCCGCTTCTTTCGCCCGGTCGCGAAAGCAATGAAAGAAAAGGCAGAAAATCCAGGAAGGAAAGGGAAAACCGCTGAGAACGGCAGGTTTGTCAGGAATTTACTTCTAAGGTCCATTTCGTAACATGCGTTATTGCTGACAAGGGAAAATGTTACAATTAGTTAAAATGTCGAAAAAAACAGCTGGCATGTCGTATTTTGGCGATATTCACGCTCAAGTTTATTTTCAATCGGATGGAAAACAGATTTAAAATCGCCAAGTACAACTTAAGGCAAATTTTATTCCAATCAATCAAAATTTTATGAAAATTTGACCTCCTTTTCTGTCAAAATTGTTGTTGGATTTTTAATTTTATTTTCTCACAGAACCTAAAAGAGCAAATTTGGTGAAGTTCCAAACCTTTGGTTCAAGTCCAACTAATTTTTACAATAGATGTAGATATAGTTTCGGGGTATAGTATACTGCGCCCTTTAAGAGCTATTATTTCCCCCGTGCTCTACCTAAAGCACATCGGTGAGTCCTATTTCATCAAGAAACTTGATTAATAGGCCCGGTTTCAATGATTGAAGCTCTTCTATGGTCACATTATACATCCCAAAACATTTCCTCCTGGGGGCTAGTGTAGCTCCGTAGTTTGTTAGTAAATATGTTGGTGCTTCTAATGCCTCTTTGCAGAATCTGCATGTGCCATTCCAATTTTCTTGCAGTGTCCTGTTAGGAATCCTATTAGGATTCGCAGTTTGTTCCTGCTTCCCTTGACACATTCTGTAGTTTCTTTCCTTCCAAAATTCATTAGAAGATTCTTGGATTGTCTGTGTCCAATAAGTGAATTCCAAAGTTCGCTCCTTTTCTTTTTGTCCTTCTGTCTGAGATACTTGTTAATAGTGTGGGTTTCTATGCTACAGAAGGGTTCAGGTGTAGCAGCGCCTTTTCTTGCAAGGTTATCTTCTTTCTCGTTGCCTTCTACTCCCATGTGTCCTGGGACCCAGCAGAGGCTGACTTTATTCTGTGTACCTTATATGTTTAGTTTTTTATTTATTTAGAAATCGTGAGATGCGGTTTGGTGTGATGCAGGTTTCAGAAAAACATTTCTTTATCGTGCCAACGTTTCGATCTTTATTGAGATCAAACATTGTTTACATATAACAATTACATTTTGGATGTGGAAAAGTGAATTTATAAAATGCAAAATATATTTTTTATATATTCAATCAAAGTATTTCTACTCACTCAAAGTGTTTGTCTTCTGTGTAATTGTGCCATTGTTGCGTGTCGTGTCGAGCGTGCCAGTGAGATTTTGCTATTTTGTGTTTACATACGTTGAATTTTGAAGGGGTGGGGAAGGAAGTCCGTATAGAAAAGACATTTTTGTATAAGGCGTCGGCTTCTTTGAGGTGAAAAGAGCCGACGAAGGGAAAAAATATGTTGGTAATGGTTCGGCCAGATTATCCTTTCAGGATTATATAGAAAGGGATAAATATGAAAAGGAAAGCTAAATTGTTGGGAAATTAGACTATGAGAAAAATATTTGATATGTGAAATGTAATGTGATGATGTAGGTATGTTATCTGTATTGAATTTGATTAATGATATTGGCGTAGCTGCGACTGAGTTTACATGTATCTGTTCTGTAATTAATGCTGTGTTTATCTCTGTTGGTATAAACCATTTCTACGAAATTACGTTTATGTTTGTTTTGTTCTGTGTGTAATACTTTTGGATTTTTGAAGTCGAAATTTTATTGGTGTTCAAGATCGTGGGTAGCGAGTGCTGTAGGATTTTGCTTAGGTTTTTTGCAATCATAGATATGTTGCTTTACTCTCTTGTCCAGATATTGGGATGTAAGACCGATGTACGTTAAACAGTTGATCTTGTAGATTACATCAGATTTATTTGTTATTGGTGTGGGATCTTTAATTTTGGAAAAAAGTGTTGGAATTGTTTTATAATTTATAACAATATTTTCAAAAATGAGAAGCTTATCTCAAAGGATAAGCTAATCCCCAACAGCAGGATCGGGCAGTGCGAGCTGAGCTACGAAAGGACGAGGAAGGACTCTCTCAATTTTGTTTGAAGACACCTGCTCTTTTTATGTAAATGGCAAGGAGTTATTTTTTTCAAATCTGAATACATTTATTTTTTAAGGTTTTGTTATAATTTATTTGGATCAGGTATCAATTTTTGTCTTTTCCGTTTAATTTAATTTAGTTTGTGGCACAAATATTTTTTCTCATTTTTATTTTACACTCGCAAGGAAACGAGTTTTTGCATCGTGTGAAGGGGATTCACGATAACACGTTATAATTTTTGAAAGGTATTTTGAAGTTATCGGACAAGAGAAATGTGTTTAATTTATGTGATAGGCCTTGGATTTGGTATAAATGTATGTTGGTTTGTTTGTATTCGATAGACTTAATGTAGTATTATTAGTAATAGTGGATGGTGTTAGTGTTGAGTTGTAATTGTTGATTATTCTGTTAATTATGTGCTTAGGGTAGAGATTGTTATGGAGGATCTGTTTGTATATCTTTGTTTTTGTGGTGGAAGGATTCATGGCTTAAGGTAATCATTCTGTGAAGTAAACCTTTGGCCGTGTTTATTATTGTATGAAGGGGATGGTGAGACGTAATATGTTTAGTTTGGTTTTGAAGTTCAGCACCATCCTTGAACTAATTATATTTGAGCTTAGTGCTTTGATGGCTGCTTGTCTATCTGACATGATAGCTATATTCTTGTTTTTGTACTCTTTACTTAGGTTGAGTTGGTACATCTTTCGATTGCATGAATCTCAGCTTGGAAGATACTAGTATGTTTTCCCATGGGTTCTGAGTATCTGGTTCCAGCTCCAAATACTCCTACCCCTGTACCTTCTTGTGTTCTAGATCCATCTGTGTACCAAAGGATGGTGCCATTTTTGAAAGAGTTGTTTCCCTCTCTTCCCAATTCTTTTATGGTACCTGGGTTTATTCGGAAGTTTTGGTTAAATTCAAACATCCTGTTCATGTCGTCTCTTGGGACCATGAGTATCGGATGGTAATTTTTATAATAATAAACAGCTTTCTTTGTAATCAATTTACATAGAACATATTCCTTTACATTTCAGGGGAAATGGCGGGGCACTATTACATCCCGTTACAATTGATCTATTTCATCCCTAGTCTAAATATAAAGGTAAAAAAAAAAATCAGCAAAATGAAATTAGCTACATATTGAATTGAGTAGCTTTCATGGCACAGGAGTAAAGGATATGCGCAATTAAAATAACAACATAACACTAATAAAATCTAACACTAACTTGGCATATTAAATATGATAATCAATTTAAGTTTAATCGAATTAAATAAATAAGTAAATAAATGAATGAATAAATAAAAAACAAATAATATAAATACATTAATAAATTTAAAGATTAATAAACAAACAAATACAAGTTCGTACACATAATTTACAAGATTGCAGTGTGCATACAAGCACACATATACACATCTTTACCCATATAGTAGCCTGATTATATGTTTTATTCTCCTGGGCTTCCAAATGATATTCGTACAGTATCTTCCAATTTCTTAGCATGTAGGATTTCTGTGTTCAATCAGTTTGTTGAAAAGGTTTTCAGTGAGCCGTTTAGCTTCGTCGTACATCAATGTATTGTTTGTACTCTCAGGGAGGAGGCTAATTTTAGTGCTGCTCAATGAGGTTACCAGCCTCAGAAATTGATTTTGTGCACACTGTAACTACTTCCAATTTGATCTGGGGGTGTAATTCCAAGCAGGGCGTACAGGAGGAGTTTCACCATGACTTTTTAAAGGAGGAGTTTATTATTGAATTTGAGTCCAGAGTTGTGGGACAAAGGTACCTCGTAGTGCCCTTTTTATGATTTCATTTAGTGACTAGAGAAATTGAACTTGTTGTTCAAAATAACGCCTAATTTTTTCATCCCATTTGCAAGCTGTTAACAGATACTTGGTCTCGAAAGATAGAGCGACGCCTGGTAAAAAGTATACTAATTTTTGCTGCGTCATGGACGATTGGGTGTGTTTACTATAATTTTACTTATTACTCTGTTTCTTCATAACTTGTTAAATATTTAATCTTGACAAAACATGGTTTTAACTGAACTTGGAATTTTAGAGATGTCACGCAGCAATATCTTAAGCAAAAGTGTACAAATTCTCCCAAATTAAACGGGTTTAATAATGTATAATTTATTTTGGATTTCGATAGAAAATAATCTTCGCGTTTTACTACTCTACTTATAATTTTCGGCTGATTTTCTAATTTCTATTTTTTTTTTAAATTTGATATTGGAAAGAGTCCCTAACCATTACAGTTTTCAAAAGGCGAAAATTCGAGAGGTGAGGATGAGGTTGGAAGTTAGTGTCCGAGCGGATCGAAGTCACGATAGCTCAAGTGGTAGAGCAGCGGCGTATTTAGCCGAAGGTCGTGGGTTCGAATCCCGCTCGTGACACTGACTTTTTTATCTCAACCAATACCTTTCATGAAGATTAATTAATTGATTGGAAAGAGAAATTTTCAGCAGAATTTTTGGGTGAAATCCAACTACAACCCTCGCTACCAAGGAATTAGGTGAAAACTATTAAAAGAAAATCTATTTTTCATTAATTTGATAAATATTTAATGATTCATTAAATGCACCACCCTTTAAACCGAAATGATTGCTTTAGAGATGCTACGCAGCAATAACTCAAGAAAATACGTACAAATTTTTTCTTCTAATCTGGCTAGTTAAATAAAAAAGATAATTGATTTCGTATTTTGATGAAATAGAGTGATTGTTTTCTAGAAAAAAAATCTAGGCATTAATAGCGGTGGTTTTGGAAAATATGGAGGACGATGTTCCAGTCTAACTCCAACAATAGCCACAACACCAAGGAATTAGGTGATAAATTTTCAAATCCAGTTTAGATATTTCTTCGTGGATTAAATAAATTTTTATATTGGTTACCTTTTACAAGGTGAATCTGAGCGTTCTAGACAATTTCTTCTATAGATTTGAAGAAATCCATCAATATTTTCCATTGGGCAAATTTTTTAATATATTTTTTCCCATATTTTAAAATTGCCTATATACTAGTAACAATAGGGGATTTTAGATTAATTTAAAATAAATACATTAGAGTAAGTGTTACACAAAAATATTAAAAACCCATACTTTATAAATAGCACCAAAAAACAAACCTTTACTGAATAATCTCCTGAAATTTTTTCAAAATCTCTAAATTTAAAAAAAAATTCCTAATTCAAAAAGGGCGTTGTATTATAGTATATTTTGTGTGTGGTGATTAGTGACCGTTAATCGATAATTATTCAGAAATCGTGTGATGCGGTCTGGTGTGATGTAGGTTTCAGAAAAACATTTTCTTTATCGTGCCAACGTTTCNACAAACACTTTGAGCCCTGAAGATGATCTCAATAAAGATCGAAACGTTGGCACGATAAAGAAAATGTTTTTCTGAAACCTACACCACACCAGACCGCATCTCATGATTTCTGAAAAGTATATTTTATATTGGATTGTTTGCATTTATTTGTGGAGAAACTTTTTTCCTTTCTTCTCAAACCTACTTTTTTATTCTTATTAAGTTCTTATTCTGTTCAAATGCTTATACTATTCACTATTACTTATTTGCAAACTGAAGGATGTGTTTTATTATCAAACTTAGATTATAAGATAAGCCAATAATTAGACGTTGATTTTTTTTAATAATTTAATTATACAATTATTGTTTTTGTTGTTTCAGGACAAGCTGCTCTCTAAATTAGAAGAAAACGAACCAGAATTAGCAACTTCTCAGGAAGACGAGGTATTAGATTAAATCTTACAAAAAGTTTCAAGAAAAGATTATCGATTCGAATTGAAAAAGACAGGGGGAGGATTTTTATGATATTCGGCCCAATGTTGAGATTAGAGAGAGGTATTATCTCGTTTCTAGATACGAATTGCGCTCAGGATTCCTTATTCGTTAAATCGATTTTACCCTCGCTAAATCTGAAAGGGCATAAGAAGTGTCCTTTCTATTATGCGAGCATGATAAATGTCATCGATGATGCCCACTTTGAAATGCCAATCCAAGTATGGAACTTTGATGCCAATATATCGTTACATAAGTTCAACCGGATTGAAATAATTGCGTTAAATTTGTAACATATTATGAATTTATTTTAAAAAAATAGAGGCTGAAACTGGCATAAAAGGCGAGATTTGAACTCATTGCCAGTGAATTTGAATAACAACATATGATGCATTAAATATTGAATGTTAAATAACTCTTAATACACATAAATTATTTCAATTTTAACTTATTAATTTCATGCATAGATCAGAACCTTTCACGGTCCTGGCTAAGTTTAAACAGTTTTTTTCCTAAACATTTCATTGATTTTGTAGGTTCAGGGAGCAGAACTTGTAATTAAAAAATTTATTAAAATGTATTCTTCTATTTTAAACTAGTTAGGGTCTAGTCCTTCCATCCGCTTATTATCTCATTTCACAAATCAAACAGACCAATAGATACTTTTAAGATCGGAACATCCTTTTGGCGGTCTTTCATGCGGAAGCGGGTGTTCTGCAAGGCGTCACCTTTGTTCCCATTCTATTGACTAGTATTGACTCCTAATAATTCCGATATGCAGTTGCTATACCATTTTCCACCAAGCACACTATTAGCTTTCAAAAATCTCCTGTTTGGATGAATAGTTAAAAAATAGAGGGACAGATTCAGTAAATTTAAGACCCAACAATGGCCTCCACCCTCCTCTGTACTTTAGTACTATTTTTTCCTCTCGCTATTTGATTTTTCATCGATGAAACTTGGAACCGCTACGCTCGAGTTAAAAAAAAGTGAATAAACGGTATAAAGAGGTCAAAAGACATTTTGACTGCTGCAACCAATTTGGACATACGAATTTTTAGGGGACCAAGCGTTCAAACCTCCAAAAAATTAATTCACTCCAGTCCAAATTCCCGCGAATCATTACCCAACTTCCAAACTTCGTATACAACCTTAATATCCACAGTATCCATACAGACCTTTAAAATCTACTTGTGCTCGATATCACTAGTTTATATAGATGTTTTCATAATACTCTGAACACTGGAGGATTGAAGATCGCAGCACCCTGGTCCAACACCTTTCATCACTGAACTCTTCTTGATAATTTTCCAAGACTCTTAAAGCTCCAATCCAATCTTACTATCCACAGACCTTCAGAAATCAATTGCCGTAAATACCGCTCGTATATGCTGATGCTTCCTTAATACCCTGGACCCTGCAGGAATGAGGATTCCTAACACTCTCGTCGAACACGTTTCATCCCTGAACCATTCTTGATAAATTTCCAAGACTCCTAAAGCTCCAATCCAATGTTACTATTCATACGTCCTTCGTAAATCATTTGTCCTTGATACCACCAGTTAATACAAATGCTTCCATAATATCCTGAACCTGCAGGATTGAAGAGCGAAACCCGCTAGGCCAATTTCATCTCCTAACCTTTCTTGATAATTTTCCAAGATTCCTAAAGCTCTAATCCAATCTTACTATTCACATGATTTTCAGAAATTATTTGTCCTTAAACCGCTCGTTTATATAGATGCTTCCGTAATATCCTGAACCCTGCAGGAATGAGGATCGCACACCCTAGCCCAACACCTTTCATACCTGAACGTTTCCTCATCATCTTCCAAGACTGCTAAAGCTCCAATCCAATCTTACTGCAGGAATGAGGATCGCAACTCTGTAGGCCATTTTTGTCTTCTAACCCTTCTTGATCATTTTCCAAGACTCCTAAAGCTCCAATCCAATTTTACTTTTTTTTTACCCTTTCCACCATCCCGCCGTACCTGAGGAAGACCCCATACCGGCGGACAAACGCTTTAGCTTAATCGAATTTGTATATCTAAAGGATTTCAAATAAATGGGATAAAAATACCTCCCAACTATCTTTCCTTCAGGCGAGACCGCTGGTCGGTTTTTGAAGGGACCATATTTTCATTTTAGAATCTAAAACAAAAGTCTTCCCTTGCTGGTTTCCCCTTGCACATTTACTTTTCCTTGGATTTATTTTCTATCTATTTATATTATCTAAAATTTTCTTACTAAGAAGAGGAAAACAGCCCGGAACCCTAAACCTAAACCTATGTTTAATTATGCAATAAATAAATAAATAACGGTTATAAAACTCTAACAATAATAACAATATTTAGGACTTAATAATTAGAATAAATAGAATAAATAGGGACTTGTTCATTTAAGCGTATTTGAGGCAAAGTCTTTTAGTGCTCCAAAAGATTTGATATCACTGACTAGCTTTTGGAGATTAGGCAGCCATTCTGCTGAGGTGATGGTCTTTCGCAAACGTTCTCTTTCTGCCTTGAATTTGATACAGCTGAAGAGTTTATGTTCGGCGTCTTCTTCAGTGCTGCAAACGGAGCATAAAGGGCTTTCTCTTATATTTATAAAGATAGCTTGCAAAGTTTCCATGTCTTGATAGCATTTGGGTGGTCCAGTAGTCGGGGTGTAGCCATTTTGCTATTTGTCTTTTTTCAACGCTTGGGAAGAATTTGGATGTTAGCCGACCTTTATTGCTATTTGTCCATCTTTCTTGCCATGATGCCCTTGTCATTTTTCCCAGAATAAATAGGGACTTTTCTGGGATGAGGACCCCCAACACCTGTCATCTTGAACCTGTACCGACCATCCTCCAAGATTCCTAATGCACCGAGATTTTCTCCCTTTCGAAGAAAGTGAATAGTTGCTTGTAGTGTTCTAGTACTATCACAATTTTCTACCATTCCGTCAATTAGTTTTATCTATTTGTTACATTAAGTTAAAAATATTGAAAATAACTTTTAAACCATTCTGTTTTTATAGTGTGTGATATGTGTAAACGCAAAAGCAACTATGCAAACGTCCCCCTGCGGTCACAGGGTGGTTTGCCGCAAGTGCTTCGTCAAGACGATACAAATGGCCGTATCCCAGCGGCTGTTACCTCTCAGATGTGTCATCTGCCGTGCCAAGATCCTTCGTCTGAAGCAGAGCGGAGTCCTCCTCCCGAATTCGACATCATCGTGGAGCGTGCCGCAAACCAAATCATGGATGGTCAACTCTGCGTCCCATTATTCGATGGGCCCCGTCCCTAACTCAGAATCTCTTTACTCAATGGCGTCCGGATCGTCTTCCATTTCAGGTAAATCATGGTGGTTTCTATATTATATTCATTCCAATATATTTAAAAAAATCCAATGCCCATTAAGTTTTAACGATTTTCGTCGCTTTGGCCCTTTACTGAAAAGCTGGTGCGAATAGTCCGCTGTTTTACAAACCAGGCAGGGTGTTATTTGCAATAATAGCACATTTTCAACTTGCTAATAGGACAAATGGCGTCGCATAATCATTTGCAGACTCTTCGACCTTTCAGGGCTCTGTTTGTCATATGTAACTACGGGACATTATAATTCATGTGAGTTCATCTGCGGAACCATCTTTTTTTAGACTTACTAACATGTAATTAAGATCAGTTCGTTAAAGTTACGAAAGTCTTATGGTTTGAATTATTTCTCTTTTTCCCCCGTTTATTATTTATTTTTATTTCTCTGAAGAACACATGAAACTCGCCTTCATTTGACCAGATCAGACCAAAGTGAGAAAAGATGAGAGACAAAACACATCCTCCGAACTACCAATTAAACGACCTGCGTACGACCTCCGGACTCCGTTATTCTTTGAGCTTTCAAAATTGGAAAAAACATCTTTGATCGATTATTGAAGGTTGAACACTCCGCCATTGATTAAGTCGTTCCATTGTAGTAATCAATCACCAGCCCACAATGATTAATTCATCCCATCAATCATTTTTTATAATTTTCAAAAAAATAAACGGTAACACAGCACAATGAGAGAAAATTATTGCGTCGTTATAAAATTTTTAATCACGAACTGAATTGAACTAACGAAATTGTCACTGACACAATTAAAAATTGTAATTCTTTTTCTTTTTTTCTTTTTACTATTTGGCTGGTTGATGTATAAAAATAAGAAGTATTATAGGTGTGAGGTTTTCTGTCTTATTTTGGTATGTGACAAAAAGCTACCCAAAAATTAGAAGTGTGCATTACACGGATATGACAACAACCCCAAGCTGCCTTAGAAACGCTATAAAACCCATTTTTCTTGGAACCATATTTGGACAGACAAACAAATTAAGTACAAGTTCCGTGATTAAGATCAAATCAAGCTAAGCAAAAAGGTACTTAGGCATAGTGTTGGGAGAAAGGTTAAACCCCAATTGATGATGGGCTGAGTCCAAGTTATTAAGCTCTCCATCACTTACAAAAGCAAACTCATATATCTGTCCATTGCCACATATGGTGGAACAGCCTGGGGAACAACAATTGCAAAGCAAGAAAAGAAGCATCCTCAAGCAAAGAATCGCATTCCTAAGAATGACCAAAGCTTACAGGACAGCCCGAACTCATGCACTTCAAGTTCTTACTTCCGTTCCACCAATCGACATTGTCCTCCAATCGACATTGTCCTCCAAAGTAGAATTGCAATCCAACCGGTAAATATTGAAAGTAGGCAATGATTGGATGTTTCAGTTTGTAATTGGCAACAAGATGCTCCTAGGAAACAGATCCGAGACTTTATTACAGTTTGGATAGGCAATTTGTGGCACAAAAGATGGAAAGAGAAGCACCACGGGAAGGCCAAACCACGAGTTTCTACTCAATGAGCCAAAGCATTGTGGTTGCAAACAGATTTTTGTATTGCTCAAATAATGGCAGGACAGGGAAATTTAAGTTACTTGTTGAATTTAAGCGCTTCCATGAACTTTTTAATTCTGAAGTGATAGTCCTATTTAGTACCAATATTTATTAGTTATTTACTAAAATAGTTATTTAGTTTTATTATAAAAAGTATTCAGAAGAATGGACCAAAATAATGAATAAGAAGATATTTCCCTACCTTCCTTGGGCCTCCTCTTTGAGAGCAAGGCCAAAGGACCCTGCTAAGACCCCCTAAATTTGCATAGAAATTTATTGCTGTCGTGTACTGGTAGGGGGTCTCCTTAATGTATAGTGGGGAGGTGGATAGGTTAAAAAAAAACAATAGGGAATAAAATCAGACAACCATTCCTAGAAATAGACAGATTATATGATCCTGGAAACTCATAACAGACTATAAAGAAGTGGAAGGACAAATCAAATAAAATTATATAGTACACATGTGGCCCCAAAACCAGTGATAAAACTGGAACAGGTATATTCTGTGCTCCGTCAAAATATGAGCAATCAAATTCATTAGGCGACTAAACTCATTAAGTACACCTCGGTTTTAAGCTGATATTCATTCTATCAATGGTTGGGCTGCAGAAAATTTTGAAAAAAAAAAACAGTCAGATGACCAAGCGCATCTAAAAGCATTAGTACGTTAAAAGGTAAGATACAAAATAGTCGGCTAATGAATCCAAAATATCCAAAACCTGGGAATACATGATCTGACTATGTTTTTGGTGTGAGGGTACAAAAGTATTTTGGGTAATGAACAAGAAGACAAATTGGCAGGGGAGGATCTGCAAGGCCCCTTAGACAATAATTTGGATAACAAGATTAAACCTTGTCTCTTCCTTCTCACAATGAGTCCATCCAGATCAAACGAAGAAATGGTGAACTCTATAGGTACCAGACACAGTAAGCTAACAGTTAAAAAACCCTCAAATCTGGCAAACTCACTGCTACAATTAGTCAGGGTAAAACTGAGGTGATATACTGGGTTATATACCAATATATTCAAGATGAACTCATTGTAGTAGTGCAAAGAACTGGAAGAAACTGTTTGAATATGAAGCAACCTGTGGTACCGAGAAGATCTAAGAAAATGATTAGCAGCAAAGGTAGTCAAGTACCAACTACTTCTTAAAAGAACCATCGAATCAATTGATCTTATCTAAGAAACTGGAAAAATAAAATAAGCCTAAAGACTACAGTGCCTGGGAAATACCACCCCTGCTTCCTAGAAACCTCATCATCATCAATTCAAATAAAAATTATAGTTAATGCGTGTATTTAATTAAAAAAAGAAAAAAAAGAAGGTGGCCACTTTTTTACCTCTCACCGTAAATTCAGTGCAAATTTTATGTGCAGTATTCAGTCACCCCAGTATTGAGTAATATATTCATACACACTGAAATGAATACTTTCTTCATTGTTTAATTGTTTTATTTAGCCATAACTACCATTTTTCCAGCAAACAACAAAAAATAAAAATTATATTGAATACAAGTATTTACTATTAAAAAAATGTTTAAAAGTCTTAAAAGCCTCATTGTAAAAATTTAACTATTAACTTTTTATTATTACTGGTTTGAATAATTGTTTGAGACAGAAAGAAAATGATTTTTTTTAAATATATGTATTTTTAAATAAAGTTGAAATGAGCTCTCTGATAAATTTCATAGTGACAACAAAGTTATTATCAGTTTATCTTCTGTAAACTTTGTTAAAGTTTTAAACATAATCAGAATATTTAATTATTACAATGAAGGACATTTATGTCAAAATATAACTAACATGTCAAAAGTTGCCTGATTCTATACTCAGATAAAATATGATAATGTCCTGCGTCATTGAAACAAATATAACGTTTCCTTCTTGACAAATATTGTTCTCGTGTAAATATTTGTATGTTCTTACAGCCGTATCATCATCTTCTGGGAGCTCAACTGGAAGCAGTTGCAGTGACAAGTGTAACGGGCTTAAAAACTTCCCCCGCCAACCGACGACAGGGTCTCTGAGAAAGTCTCAAACGCATTCGATGAAAGTAATTATTTAAGATATTAGAACAATTAGTTAAAACTATAAAAACCCTTGATTTCAGAAGGCTTATTTTATTAATAATTCAAACTGTCAAATATTTCTCTTTTTTAGTACCATCTACAAGAGTACAAAGAACCAGTTCGATCCACAGTACATCGACCAGGAGTTGCAAGGGATCCTGATAAAAGGCTTCCTCCGATCCAAGAATTCCAACGGGAATTTAGATTGGGAAAGGAAAGATCAACTTCTACAAGAATAAGGTAAAAATAAATTCTTATGATTTTAATTATTTAAACATACCAAGGGATTCTACTAAAAATAATGTTCATTGCTAGTTTCACTGCCAATTCAACCTTGTTAAATTATGTAAAGCTCTTGAGTTGCTCACTAAAGCTGATGCAATGAGAAAATGCGTTTGAATAACTCAAAAACCTGCGAGTGGAGACAGATCCAGCAAGTGACGCTTTACTGGTTCAACATGAAAAGCTGTTCTTATTGCTTAATCATCTGCCAAACGCTTTACAAAATAATGATACACCAAACTGTACAAAATGTAATCGTTATTTTTTTCCCTTGCTGTGATACATACAGCCAGTGTCCAGAGACACCACCCCACCAGACTCACGCTGGCCAATTGAAGCCACTGCCAAGAAGAATCTCAGAGCACTCCCTTTTAGAATTTACATGTTTAACATTTGTAAGCTCCACCCTCACTTACAGATGCGTTGGGAGGTTATAGACATTCACCCTAATAAATCCATTCACTTCCACTTGGAATCAAAGGGATTTCCTCTTTTAGCTCTTAAACTTTCAGATATTGTGTCTGATATCTGCTAATGGTGTTCCTGGAAGATTTTAGTTTTTTAATGAAGTACAGAATTTAGTGTTGTGTCTTTATTGTTTAAGAATGGTTTTCCTAGGTACCATGGTATTTTTTACTAGCTATTGCAGAACAGACACATAAATTCTGTTGTCTCTACTTACTCTAGACATAGTCGTTATTTTTTTTCTGCTGCTACTGCTACACCTTGAAATGTTTGTTATTTTTTCTTTGGGTTTGTAGATGCGGTGTTTTGCAAGATCAAAGATTTTATAATACTTTTACTAATTTTTGCCATTTAAAATTCCATGGCCTGTTTCAGCCCTTAATAACTCAGCCATCACAGTTTCTTAATAAATTTAGTTAATAAGTTATTTAGTTTCTGATATTACAGAAATAAAAGTGGCATTATTACTAAATATTACTGAGTTCTAATGGACTATTTAGTATGATCTCAGTCTTATTATTTAATTAGATCATTGATTTTTTCACATAGAGTGATAATTTGAAAACTATAATAATTTAATAGTTATAATGTCTACTATATTATTTTCATTAAATGTGTAATGTTTCAGATGTGCTCAAAAAATTGTTACCCAGTTGGAGACAACGCCTGTTGTTAACAACAAGAATGCATTATTTTTCCGACCAAACCCTAAGTCTGAAATAGAGAAGAAAAAGGCGAAAGAGAGCCAGGGAAAGTTCAAAATGGCCAAGGACGACAAAAAGAAAGCGGAAGTCGAGAAGGCAGACACTAAACAACCGAGTGCGGGTGAAGGGAACAGCAAAGATCAGGATAGCAAAGACAAGAAAGCCGAAAAGGCGGAAAAGGCTAAGGCGGAGAAGAAAGATAAAAATAAAGAAAAAGAATTGGCCAAAGCCGAGAAGAAGGAACAAAAGAAAGAAGCAAAAGCTGAAAAGAAAAATGCCAAAAAGGAAGCAAAAAATGACAAAAAAGACAAGAAAGAATAAAACAAAGACATCTTAATAAATAGCTTAAATTTTTTATCTGTGGTTGATAATATTATGTCCATACAGGTTTAGTGTTGTGATAATTATTATATTTACTTTAGTATTAAATAAAACATTTATTTCTATTAACAAAGTTTGTAAATAATTGAGCACCGGATACATTTTTAGATATATTTATTTATATAGTTTATAAACATTTGCAAAATGTCTTCCAAGAATGCTTAGTTATTATGTTGGTAATACTCGAATAATTGCTCGGTCAAACTGCCTCGATTAATATTGTTATTTTTTTAATTTAATCATTAATAAAGTAATGTTAAGTGGATTATGTATATAGATTTTTATTCTTAGTGTAATATTTAAACATTTACATTAGTATTTGTTAGCAATCGTATGGGCATAATAATATCTATATAAATCGTTCCTTGTTTTCTCTGTTACACTTTTGATTACATAGTCTATTTTTTGTAGAAAAATAAAAGAAACGAGAAAGAATCTAGCGACATATAGTTACATATCTTTACATATTTATATTCAATTTGTATTGAAACGTCAAAAAAAGAACCAGATGAGGAGGAAAAAAAGCTTAATTCTAGCGTTAATAATTGACTTAAATAAAGCTATGATTATAATGGAGTCAATTATGAATAGTTACGGAGCATTAGCTACATAGCAGTATTAATTCAAGTAATTAGAGTAAGTAGAATTGTGATAGTTCTACATAAAGCAAAAATGGTTTAAAAAAAGTTTGCCAGAAAATATTAAACAATGAGTTTTCAAAGGAGTTTTCAATATTTATAATTAAATCTTTCTAAAATAAGGAATTTTTTTTAACTAAACGCTAATCATGATGTGATTGAAATTGTAGTATTTATTTTGACGATTGAAAGGAAATGAACTCCTGAGTAATTAAATTGTGAGATTGCTCCAAGTCTGCAGGGAGACGGGCCTGCATTATGGTTGTTATGGATCGTTTCGGTCGGCCTATTCTCGTCAGGTCTATCAGATGTGTTTAGGTATTTCACCGTCTTCAGTATTAATCTTGATGATTTTGGATGCCAAAGAACAACTGTCATGCCAACCCAGCGAGAATAGGCAGCAAATACGATCAGTAATGACCTGAGTATTAATTTATACCAGTGTGATAGAACAGATAGAAAATTATCATAATAATTTCATAAAAGACAGAATATTAGATAACCATTATGATTTTGTGTGTTTATAAACAGTAAAAATGCCAGCTTGTAAGAGTTTAATATGTAAATAATAAATAGTTTTTGAGGCATTAAAGGAATATTAGATTTTTATTATTAACGTTTTTCTATGACAGTGAAAGCTTTATCAGTAATTACAGAAATGTGCTTACAAACATGTTAATCATATAAACATTAGTAAATGGTAAAAGCTATGTGTAAAATAAGACGTAAAATAATTTTTTCAAAAATTTCTGTGTCAACAGATGTATGAACTCCAAATTTACCTTAAGTCTTAAGAGAAAAACTATACGATCCTGAAATATTTAGGTAGGTAACATAAATTCCCCTTGAAAATGTATCTTCTTATACAATAAAAAATATTAACAAGTTAAAAAAAATTATGTAGACATTTAAGTAATTCCAAGATTCAACAACATAAATTGGGAGCTAAAAATTAATAATAAAAAAACAGCAAAAGTTAAATTTAGATAACATCCAAAGAAAATAAAAACGATTATGTAATAAGTTGTAACAAGGAATACCACCAGTCTTCCAACTAGTATATTTTTTGTTTTGCAATGACAACAAAAGGTGAATAAACATTAATTTAAAAAAAAATCATGAAGCTTGGAAATTGTTTCTTTGTAGAGCTTTTTTATCCAATATTTTAAATTAAAACAAAAAAGATACATTTTTTATTTTTTCATATTGATTTTGTTTCACATCTGAATTCTAACGATTTTTCTATTTCATTGTAAATAGTTTCTATAAATAATTATTTTTCTACCTTTGTAGTAAAAATAATTCCTTTGCAGTAGTGCAACAATTATTTAACCTATATTTTTTGTACAGATGCCAAGGATGGTGTTCATTGCAAAATAAAGTGAGAGATTATAGATATTGATGTACATATTTTCAACCATTCAATGTTTTTTCCCCTAGTTTTTGTAGAATATGACTGAAAAGATTTTTTTTTATTTGCAATAAATGTTTTATTTTACATAGTGTAATATGGTGGAAGCTATGAGGAGCAACTGTGTCCTGGCAAGTTCAAAAACTCTGAGAACATTTTAGCAATAAAAACTTACTGCATATAAGAATTAACATACTTTTATTGATGTTGATGGTGGATGTTGGTGAACAATGCTTGGCAGTAGGACAGTTACTCACTGAAGATGCACAAAGCTGAAACAGGTTTGAGTGACATCGTAGATTTTTGTTTTACTGTTTGAGATATGGACTTCTTTGTTTCATTTGGTGTGCGGTCATTTCTTCCTCCCTCCATTTCAATTCCGCTTTATTCTGGTTAAAAGAGTGTAAGAGATCCTTCCGTCAGTTTGTTGACTTCAGGCTGATATCCACAAGAGTTGGAAGGCAATCCTAGACTAGTTTTCAGTAGTAGATGAGGGGGAGTCTAAAGCCTTCAATTCTACTCGACAGTCTGGGAACGAACATTTTGAACTTTTTTAAGTATTTGTTCTGAACAGAATTCTATTGCTTATTAGCTTGTAAAGTTGATCATGTTAGGCCTAATGTTTTCACTAAGTCAAAATTTGAGCCTTTGACTACTGCTCAACTTCATGTTCAATTTTAGATCCATCTATATATCAAAATAATTCCCCTATAGTGATTTCAAAGGTTTTTATTCTTCTAGACATCTCTTGTTGTAAATGACTACTCCTCTTCCTTTTTTAGTTGTCTTTTCTTTTCTGATAGATTCAGACACAATAAGAGCGAACTGCTTCAACTAATTTATTTATTTCAGGGCCGTCCTAGCTTCCCTTTCAGGACTCATCGGAGTAATAACAAGCTCCAGCCAGATTGGATCAGCATCAATAAATCGGTTGAAACAGTTCGCTATTATTTGTCTGAATCCATCATTTGTTGGTTTCATTTGGAAGGGTCTGTCAAAATTTTCTTTTAATTTCATTTTGTCCGAAATTTTTGAGACCATCTCATTATTTTTAAAATTTTTAGGGTTTTATGATGGCTTAACTTTTTAGTTTTAACTACATTTTGTTCTAATGAATTTTCATTTGACATCCTCTGGATGGTATCTGTATAGTTGAATTGATTGAATATGCACACCCTACCTGGAACATGAGTTGGTTCAAAATTTCAACAACAAATTTTAATGCATGTCTGCTGTTCGTTTTTCTTTCCTTCTTTGCATTCTCATTGTCACATTATAATACATATACCAAACACTATAATATTGTATAATTTATTTTCTTAGGTGTTTGTGTATCTGTATCTTTCTTTAATTTAATCTAATTTACAAAACCATTTAATCTTTTTAAGAAATTATGTATTCCAGTTTGCCTCAATTTTTTTTCTAGAACTTCAGCAAAGACTTCTAGCAGTTGGATTTTAATCCAAAGCTAAATACTTTGGATTATCGATTTTTTGTAATTAATGTATTTATCTAAACTTTCATGTATAGAAATTAAATAAAATCAATACTTTTTGGAATGTTGTATTAGGGTCTGTATAAAACATTGCATTATTGAAAAGAAACAATGTTTAGAAATCAGACAGCAGTGAAATTTTCCAGCTGATTTTCAAAAAGATTTTTTCCTCCCATTTACACACAACTAAACATGATTATGTTACATTTGATCAAAGAGAAACCACAGTCAATGAATTTGTCCAGTAAAACAAAGTTAATTATTAAAATTAAAATTTAATTACAGCCAATCCAAAATAAAAATATTAGTTTTACAGAATTCTAAGGAAATTCACAGGGAATTGCTGCACAGATTGGGGTCGACTGTTCACTTTCATTTTGTTTGACTTCTGGTGGAGGTCTTGCATGTTTGACCCCGAATGCAATATCTGACTGCAGCTTCGGAAGGGCTTCGTCCATCATTTGTAACTCAATGGCAGAAAGTTTCGGTATGCCGTAGTTAGTTTCAATACCAGCAAGACCGAGGCCTATGGGCATGGTAAAAAAATCCATTCCCATTAAAGCCGATGTTCTAATAAAAGCATTTGTTTTTACATTCTGTTTTCCTGTCAGACCTGGAAAAATTAAGATGTAACCAGTTATTTTTAACGGTGTTATTAAATAATGCTTTTAAATAACCTTCTGCGATTTGATGAATGAATCCAGCCAATGAATATGCATTTGACAGCACTGCTTGAGAATTTGTGATGGAAATGACTTCTACATTCAAGTATTTGATTTTCTTACGAAGTTTATTAATTGTAGCCTTAAAAGTGTCAACATTATTATACAACCAAGATGTCTGAACTTTTATGTATATTTACCTCGATTGCAGGTCCTCCAGGATTGTTGGGCGAAACAACTGGAATCACAGTTTCTGGAGTTCCGCCACCAATGATATCGACATGAACTTTATTCGGGATTATTCCCAACATTTTGCCAAGCAGTGTTCTCGCTCTCAAAGAATGAAGGGCGACCGATCCCATAAGTTTATTAGCGCAAAATACTCCATTTTCTGAGAGGATCTGTTAAACAATTTTAATTAACCAAAAATCTTTGCTCAAAATGGTCTGATTGCTTACTTCTGCAAAATACGGCACAGTCGAATTTATCGGATAAACATCAACAATAATTATAGCATTGGGGCAATGTTGTACACAAGCTTCTGCCATAAATTTAGTATATTCTAAATTTTTCAGAAACATTTCCTTTGACGAATTAATACCATCTGGTGAATGCTTCTCCATCACAAGTACGATATCTGCTTTCTGTCCAAATAAACATTAAAAGAAAGTAACAGTTTATTAAAGTAAATTGTGCTATTTTAACTTTTAAATTTTTTTTCTTCCTCTAAAAATTTAATTTATACGTACTCTAAGTGCATGTTTTAATTGTCCGAACCCTGTAAATGCATGTACATTTGTCGATGTCGGGATTAAAGATAGATCTTTTTGAATCCCCGCTGTCCCTGATTTGCAGTGTATCGTCAGTTCTCGTACCAAAGGATCGTTTTTGACTATAAGAGCAGTCGCTTCGCCCACAGGTGAATTAGCGTTCATTATAGTCACGTTCACTTTATCCAATGGGGCGAATGTCTTCTTTTCGTATGAACGACTGTATCGCCTTACTTGCATGTTGTCAACAGTTTTGAACAAGTGCCTGAAATAGCACAAAGATTTGTTTATTCAAATTTTTTTGAAGACACTATTTCTTTAATAAAACACCTTCGGTACCTTAAGAACATTTTTTACTGTTAATACAAAAATTTTGAAATAATGTCATAAAGAAACCTAACTTTAGTAAAATTATATGTAAATTTGTGAACACATGTGAAATTATTATATCATGTAAATAAACATAACATATAAATATCATTACTAATTAAATATTTTATACAGAAAACCTATAATTTTCTAAATCTAGAAAGTTGGTTATTTTTTTTAACGAACACACCACTTATTTTTATGCCAAATATTTTAATTGTTAACATATTTCGGGCCACGTCCCTGGTCCCTCTTCAGAGCTTACTATTTAGCTAAAATGCAATTTTATAATTTATAACTTTTTGTTTATTTGTCCCGAATTCGATAGTTTTAGCTATTTTTCCGACTACTCTGTTTTTCCGACAGCCTGGCAAAAAGCTCTTGTCCACCCTGCCAATAAAACCCCAAACCCATCCTCCCCTACAGACTACCGTCCCATTTCTATCCTCTCAAACCTGTCCAAGCCCGTAGAAAGATTAGTCCAAGCACAAGTCTTGGTGAACAGTCCCATCTTCTCAACCCCTTCCAATCTGGCTTCCGCCAAGGTTATTCCACCCAATCAGCACTAATAAAAATTACCAGTGACCTCCACTTAGCAATGGACCAACAGTAAGTTACTATACTTGTCCTTCTTGATTTTTCTAAAGCCTTCGATTCTGTCCCTCACTCTTCTCTCCTCTCTAAACTCGAATCTTTTTCTTTCTCTGACAGCACCATCCGTTGGTTCCACTCCTACTTACCAATCGCCACCAAGCTGTCTCCCTTCCCAATGGCCTTACCTCCTCCTTCCTCCCTCTAAAATCTGGGGTGCCCCAAGGCTCTAGCATCTCTCATATCCTTTTTTCCATTTACATCAATGATCTGCCCGACTCCATCCGGTTCTGTAACTATCACCTACATGCCGATGACTCCCAAATATAAATATCCTTCCAGGTTTCTGATCTTCACTCGGCCACTCTCAAGATCCAAAAAGACTCCATCAACGAATGGGCCCATAAAAATTCCCTAGTCCTCAATCTGTCCAAATCCACCGCCATAATTATCGGGTCCAGGCAACTCCTCAATTCCCTCCCCAGCATCCCACCTCTCATGCTAAGTAACCATCCCATCCCCTTCAGCTCTTCGGTTAAAAACCTAGGAGTAGTCTTTGACCAAAACCTTTCCTGGCATTCTCACATTTCCCAAATTTCCCGCCATTCCATTGCCTCCCTCAACCTGTTTCATCGGTCCTGGCTTCTCTTACCTTTCTCCACCCGCAAACTCCTTGTATCTTCCCTTATACTTCCCTTCTTCGATTATAGCTGTTTGGCATACGGTGGTCTCTCAGAGGCGGAGAACGCGCGATTGAAGCGTATTATGATTTGTTGCGTAAGATTTGTGTACGACACCCTACGGGGATCCCGGGTGTCGGGGTTGTATTCCCAACTTTCCTGGCTATTCCCCTCCTTCCATGCACAGTATTTCCTAGGTTGCTTCCTTTCCCAGTTCATCTACACCCGTCGTCCCCCTTACATCACCCAATCCCTCCAATTCAACTCCTCACACTCGTAACATCCGCTCATCTCCTTTGACCTTATCCTTCCGCAACATACAACCCATACCTTCGAAAGATCATTTCTGATCCGAGCCCCTAAACTCTGGAACTCCCTTCCCCTTTCTATTCATCACTCTGCCTCCTTTTCCTCCTTTGAATCCCACCTGTGTAATCACCTCCAATCCCTCCAAGCAGAGACCTCACGTTAACATTTGTTATTTTTGTTCAATATTCTCGTAATTTTTTCTTCTGTCCTGCCTTATTGGTATACATTGTGCCAAGATTTTTTTTTTTACTTTTAACTTCATAGAAGAAACTTCCTTTATTTATTTCATGTAAATTATTCTTAGGGGACACCAGTCCCAGAATAAAGTTATTTTTCTTCTTCTTCATTTTTTGTTTACTTAACAATAATTAAATATCCTGTTGCATTCTAATTGTTTTATTATTTTGGTTTGGATATTTTGGCAATAAAATGCACGTAGATCAATGGTAAAATTTATGATTATTCAGAAATCGTGAGATGCGGTCTGGTGTGATGAAGGTTTCAAAAAAACATTTTCTTTATCGTGCCAACGTTTCGATCTTTATTGAGATCATCTTCAGGGCCTGGGATTTACAAACATTGTTTAATTTAACAAATACATGTAGGGTGTGGAAAAAAGGTGAATTTATACAATGCAAAAAATATATTTGAATATTAACAAATCCTATAACTTTCCCTGTAGTTTTTATCTAGTATTGATTTTGTAAAATAAGATATCGAACGAAAGTAACGTCTTGAAGCCACTCCAGTAAGAAATGGCTTTTCTACACGGGCCTGGAGGTAAAATGGACCGTAAATTTCGCCAGGAATCGGTTTGGCATAATTGTTCCCAGTTGAGGGACATAACGGGCGAGTTGACCTGGCGTATCTGGGTCAGCCGCGGTTCAGATTGTAAGGCGGCGTCATGGAACGCGGATGGCTCCAGGTCGGCATAGCGCTTCTTTTCCTCGGCACCGCGCAGCCTTGGCCTTCGCCTTCAGCGCTCCTCTCAAGGACGGCAAGGGGTAAATTTTTAAAAATTTAATGCCTATATTTACCCAACATACATAATTTTCGAATAAAAAGGTGTTTTTTATGCTCGATCGTTGATTTCTACTACTTCATTTTGACTCTTGCTGCTATATTTTAACCAAAACGTTTAAAAATAGTAAAATTTAGCCTGTCTCTTCTATGTTAATTACTAGCAGATATGTGATGTTTTTGTATGCTTTATTTAGCAGCTTCAATCACTTTCGTTATTCTGATCGGCCTAGCCTAGCTCTCCCAATTTTTTGAACAGAAACAAAAAATTATTGATGGTAACCGTCAAACATTTTGTGCGCATTCCAAAACTTCATCACCTTTTTGTTACAGCATTATAGACGTCACTTTTGTTATTTCAAATGGGAACCCCAAATTTTTAATTTAATTTGTTTTTAATAAATTTTTTTGAGAAGAATGAAGTATTTTTTTGAATATGCCAAAAAATTAAGGAAATTTCCTAAATTACATTTATTAAACGCAAGCTTTCGTTTTCTTTGTTTTCCCCATGAGGTCTCTAAGTAAACATAATAATAAAAAACACTTTAATCCCAAACATTTTTCATAATAAGAATAAGTGAAATTGCTTATTTGAATGAAAGTAATTATCTAATAAAACCTAGGTTAATTTCTGACAATTAATTTTGCTAATTTGTGTATTTTCATATAGAAATATTTTATATATTTTAATGGTACGTACGTCATTAAAAAGCCATGTTCCTCTTCTTTCAAATAGTCTGTTTGATGTTAAAATCCTTTTAGCCGTTTATGAATTATAGCCGTTTCAATCATATATATTCAGATAACGATTTCTCAAAAATCGGAAAAAATTTCGGGGTCAAAAAATTGTTCAAATTAAATTTTAAAAAATATTTAGGGGTGGTTAGAGGTGCCAAAAACAAAATTTGATATTAGTATCACGAGAAAAAATTTTTTGTCCTAGTTGACTTAAAAAATATTTGCTTTTTAGAAATTATTTGGTTATTGAAAAACTTTGATTACAAACTACGTAGAAAAATGCTGCAAAATGATATATTCATATAATTATTTGAACAAGTAGAATGGCGAAATAAAAATATTAAAACTCGGAAAATTTCACCTTTCAAAAAAAAAANAAAAAAAAAAAAAAAAAAAAAAAAAAAAAAAAAAAAAAAAAAAAAAAAAAAAAAAAAAATGGCGAAACCAGGAAACCGTTTCAATCAAGATATTCCGATAACGACTGCTCAAAAATCGGAAAAATTTTAGGAGTCAAAAAATTGTTCAATTTAAATTTTAAAAAAATATTTAGGGGTTTCTCGAGGTGCTAAAACGAAATTTCATATTAATTTCACGAGAAAAAATTTATAATCTAGTTGACTTGAAAAATATTTGGTTTTTAGAAATTATTTGTTTATTGATAAACTTTTACTACATTTTTTTATTGCAAACTACGTAGAAAAATGCTGTAAAATGATATCCTATATTCCTATATTTATTTGAGCAAGCAGTACGGCGAAATAAAAATATTAAAACAAGGAAAATTTCATCTTTAAAAAAAAAAAGAAAAAAAAATTGGCAAAACCAGGAAACCGTTTCAATCAGATATTCCGAAAACGACGTCTCAAAAATCTGAAAAAATTTAGGGAGTCAAAAAATTGTTAAATTTCAATTTTAAAAAAATATTTATGGGTGTGTAGAGGTGCTAAAAAAAAATTTCGTATTTCGTTTCACGAGAAAAAATTGGTTTTTAGAAATTATTTGTTTATTGATAAAGTTTGATAACTTTTACTATATTTTTTATTGCAAAGTAAAAAATGCTGTAAAATTATATATTCGTACAGTTATTTGAGCAAGTAGAACGGCGAAATAAAAATATTTAAACACGAAAAATTGAATTTTACTTTAAAAAAAAAAAAAATCAGATAAAGGGTCAAAAAATCGATAATCTCAAACTCAAGCAAAAATTTATATTTAGGGGTCTACGAAATTTCTAATTAGTTTTAAGAAAAAAAATTATGACCTAGTTTACTTGACAAAATATTTGATTTTTAGACATTATTTGTTTATTGATTAACTTAAATATCTTTTACTATATTTTTATTGCAATGGGAAAATGTTCACATAGTTGATTTGAGTAACTTGAACGGCGAAATAAAAATATTAAAAAACGAAAGCTTTTAACTTTCAAAATTGTTTGGCGGAGACTATTCACAAAAAGTGAATATACGTCACGCAATCAAAAATACGTGTCTGATATTTTGGAATATAGAATAACAAAAAAAATTTGGACCAAATCCGTGACCAACCAACCTGGTCGACACGTGAGTACAAAAACGTTCTTAACGATTATTTAAATTAATTTGCTAATTTTATTTTGTCTTGTGGACTTTTCATCAAATAAATTGTTCAAATTAAAGACCCTGCTGCCGAATGCATATTTATATTCAAGTAATTTTTCTGTTTTTATTATTTTTTTTGTATCTGTTCAAAAAATAAGGAAACTGGTGTGGTTTCAAAAAGATATCCTTTATATATGTTGTTTTTTCCCGTATAAATATTATACAAAAGTAGCGTTTTCATTGATGAAATGGTTTATTTATTCTGAATGGATATTTCAGAGATGTGACAACCGTATAATGTATTTATTCATGGGATCTGAGGGAATATGAAATGAATGAATGAATGTTGGGCGTCTTTCCGTTCATTTTAGTCTTTCCATACTCGCTGTTTTTCTCAGACCCGTTTCGATATTTCGAAGGTCAGGGAAATAAGCGGGTTAATACGAGGGCTGGCAGACCAGAATGATCGGGAACGGCAAAATTACTACCATGAAATATCATCAGTTTACAGTAATTTTCTTATGTGTTATGGTTACAAGGAAATTATGTCGAGCAAACATTTTGGGTCTTTTTCGATCGGGAAAAAGTGGCGACTGCCTTAAATCATTAAGTTATGATCATTTGTAATAAAATTGTCGAACCTAAAGTTTTCTTTCATTTGAGATTTTTTAAAATTGTAGTTTAAATTAAATCATTAATTCAGAAACTTGTCATTTCCAAGAAATATAACTTTCGAAAAAACTTGAAACCGTTTCTTTTTCAGGCTGTACATTTTTCGAGATTTTTTATATTTTCTGGTTTATCAAATGCTTTCAATTGGGTAACCTTTTGAATTTTTTTTAATTGATAAGAAATGCCCCAAAATATTGAATTAAGTTTGGACATGAAATGTAGTTTAAATTGAATCGTTAATTTCTGAAACTTGTCATTTCCAAGAATTATAACTTTCGAAAAAACATGAAAGCGTTTCTTTTTCAGGCTGAACATTTATTGAGGTTTTTTCAAGAAAACGCTCCTTTTTTGAATTTACATAATGAAAAAAAAATATAAGAAAAAAATTGGGAATATTCAAGTTTGTCCGAAATACAGTAAGACTAGGATAATCAAGTGGGCTGAAACTGCAATAATAAAAACGAATTTTGAGGGGAAAAGTGACACGTGCCTTAAATGATCAAGTTACGATCATTTGTGATAAAATTTTCGGACCTAAAGTTTTCTTTCATTTGAGATTTTTTTAAATTGTAGTTGAAATTGAATCATTAATTCTGAAATTTGTCATTTCCAAGAAATATAATTTTCGAAGAAACATGAAAGCATTTCTTTTTCAGGTTGTACATTTATTGAGGTTTTTTCAAGAAAAGTTTTCGCGCCTAAAGTTTTCTTTCATTGAAGATTTGTTTTAGTTTAAATCCATGATAAACCATAAACCAATAAAAACATGAAAGCGTTTCATTTTCCGGCTGTATATTTTTTTAGTTTTTTTTTTTAAATATTTTCTGGTTTATCAAATGCTTTCAATTGGGTAACCTTTTGAATTTTTTTAATTGATCAGAAATACCCTAAATATTGAATTAAATTTGGACATGACGGGGTATAATCAGTAACATATTCTTCAACTTTGCTTTAAGGTCCAAAATGGTATACAATTTTTTTTACAGTTGTATATTTTTTGAGGATTTTTCATTTTCTGGTTTATTGCTTTCAATTGAGTATGCTTTTGAATTTTTTTAAACTGATCAGAAGTACGCTAAATATTAAATTAAATTTGGACACGACGGGTTTTTGCTAAAACAAACACCAGAAATTTACTGAATTTTTTTAAATTCGAAATAAAATGCAATAAAAATCATAATGTTGTAAAATCAGTAACATACTCTTCAACTTTGCTTGAATGTCCAAAATGGTATACAATTTTTTTTTTAATCAACTAAAGGTTTCCACTTTTTCCTCAGTTGTTCTGGACCAGTTGAAGATTTTTCAGAAAGACACAACAGGTTTCTGTTGCAATCTGTAGATCTACCTAAAATAAATCAAAAATCGATATTTTGGGCACGACGAGTGTCTGAAAAGACTGAGTTAATTATAATGGGGTATTTAAGTGTAAAACAAAATTCAAGATATAATCTATTATTTTTTTGTTATTATGATGGATCAGAAATAAAAATAACTATATAATAGTAAACAATATATTAATCAAAATAATCGTAAAATTGTTTCAATTTGAGTTATGGTCGACAACCTCGGTTTTTACCAGTTTCCACATTAAAACTTGTATCTTTTTTTTAAGTTTTGAACTTCTTCCCGATCCCGGTCAGTGAGGAATGTAAAGCTGAAAACGGAAGGAGGACAGGTCTGTATCCGATCGTCTCGACTACCACATTTTAAATGGTCGACGAGTCGTTAATTCGAAATTCACTTTCAGGAATTTGCCTCAACGCTTACGAATGCAGGATAACGAGCGGGACCCCGCACGGGCCGTGCGCCTTGGGATTCGGCGTTTGCTGTGTATGTGAGTGTTCCAAACTTTGTTAAATACAAATTGTTCGAAAAAAGACACAGATATTCCGATTTTGATATATAAAACGCAACTGATAACAAATATAGAAAAATCAGATATAATTCATCATATTTCATATCTCGTCATCATATAAAATTTATTCGTTTTATACGGTAACTTATAATACCAAATACCTGAATTACGAGTATAATGTGAGATTTTTTTGTTGTGGTCTGCGATGAGATAGAAGAACCTGTGGTTTGGTCTCTGATCAGTTTCCAATTGGTTTCCTTTAGCTATATTTTACTGAAAAGAAATCTGGTTGCATTTTTCGCTTCTGATCACTGTACCATGATAAAGGTTCAAATATTAAATTTTGAATTTCAGGTCATCCAAAATTCCCAAGTTTCTACTTTCACGAGTTAATATATTTTGCAGTAATTCGTGTCAGTTTATATTAAAAATAAACAGTTCACAAGGTAATACAATACGTGTAATAATGACAGTTAAATAATGATAATTTAGAGATCGTGATATGCGGTCTTGTGTGAGGCAGTTTTTAGAAAAAACATTTTCTTTATCGTGCCGACGTTTCGATCTTTATTTAGATCATCTTCAGCGCCTGGAATTTGCAAACATTGACGATATTCGTCGTTCTTACATGTTTTTGTTAAATTCAAACAATGTTTGTAAATCCCAGGCCCTGAAGATGATCTCAATAAAGATCGAAACGTTGGCACGATAAAGAAACTGTTTTTCTTAAACCTACATCACACCAGATCGCATCTCACGATTTCTGAATAATAATTGACGATATTATACAACATGTGAGATGTGAAAATGAATTTATACAATGATTTACATAAAGTAAAATTTTAGGTTTACTCAAATTATTTATACTCAGTCAAAGTGTTTTCTGTGTAGATGTCTCACGGTTGCGTGTCGTGTCTTTACAAATCTGCGTACAATGTTTTTTTGCTAGATTTTTAGTAGGTAGACAACCCTTTGATGTAATGTATAATATATGCAATGTATCAAAAAATTACATAATTATAAATTCTCCGTGGTCTGCTGGACCAATTAATAACTTTCAATTAATTAAGGTTTTTAGTTGAGATCAAAAAGCCAACATCACGAGCGGGATTCGAACCCACGAGCTTCGGCTCAATACTGCTCTAATCACTTGAGCTGTTGTGACCTCGATCCACTCGGACACTAACTTCCCATCTCAACCCCACCTTTTGAATTTTCCCTCCTTTTTATCATGTTTCAAAAGTCGTGTAATTTTTTTGATCTCGGCGACAAATGCAATGGCCACGGAGAGCTTTAGTGAAGATATACTTCATTTTAACTTATTCAATTCACTAGTTTTCGTGGTCCGCTTGACCAATTAATATCTTTCAATTAATTAAGATTTTTAGTTGAGATAAATAAAAATTTATATGGAATATATTCTTTCAAACGGTTGTAGTATCGTTGAAAATTGACAAAATCCAGAATTATGCCCTTTTAAGTGAAACACTGGACATTGTCGAGAAGGAAATTTGATCTAGGCAAATCCCACCTAATTTCTAATTTAACCAGTCTTTTTTTTATTTCAATGAAAATGTATATTTTATGGTTTAACAGGGTGACTAAAACTAATCAGAATTTGTGCAAAATTTTTAAAAAAATCTATTTTACACCACCTCCCCATCTCAACCTCACCTTTTGAATTTTCCCTCCTTTTTTGCCATTTTTCAAATGTCATGTAATCTATTTGATTCTCAGCGACAAACGAAATGGCCACGGAGAGCTTTAGTGAAGATATACTTCATTCTAATTTATTAAATTCACTAGTTTTCGTGGTCCGCTTGACCAATTAATAACTTTCAATTAAGGTTTTTAGTTGAGATAAAAAGGAACTGAAAAATGGCAAAAAGGAGGGAAAATTCGAAAGGTGTGGTTGAGATGGGAAGTTAGTGTCCGAGTGGATCGAGGTTACGATAGCTCAAGTGGTAGAGCAGCGGCATATCAAGCCGAAGGTTGTGGGTTCGAATCCCGCTCGTGACATTAACTTTTTTATCTCAACTAAAAACCTCAATTAATTGAAAATACATTATAAAATTTACGCGAGTAACATTGCTATTAATATTTACGATTATTTAGAGATCGTGAGATGCGATCTTGTGTGATGCAGGTTTAATAATATTATTTCTTTATCGTGCCAATGTTTCGATCTTTATTGAGATCATCTTCAAAGCCTGGGTTTTTTAAACATTGATTAAATTATCCGTATAAGGTTGAATATGAATTTATACAATGATGGACAAAATATAGAAATTTTCGGTTCAACAAATGATTTTGTATTCACTGAAAATATGTATTTTCTGTCTAGATATGACACTGTTGTGTGCCATGTTGAAAGTGTTAGTGATATTAATGTTTTTTGTTTATAAATGTTTGATTTTGAATGAGTGAGGAAGGAAGTAGGAAGTAGGAAGAAGTAATAAAAATACATTTTTCTATGAGGGGTCGGCTTCTTTGAGGTGAAAGGGGCCGACAATGGGGTAAAAAGGGGACAACTTTACATCACACCTCCCTTTCATACAATAATAAACACGGCCAAAGGGCTACTTCATCGAATTATTACCCTGATCCATGTCTCTTTTCATCACAAGAACATAAAGATATAAAAACATATCCTATACACTGGCCATAAGTGTCGAATATTTCACGTGTTTCTACTCACCATTTACAACAAAAAAAACTTCCTATAAACTCCTGTCCAAATCTCACGGTAAATCCGTAATTTCAGGTTTTGGGTGGTTTTTAATTATTCGAATTAGGTCCACTAAATTGTTTATAAACGTCAGAATTACTGACTGTAGAAAAATCTGATTCGTGTCACCTGAAAGAATGTTAAATTTGCTTTAAAGAAACCTATTTACATCACAGAATTGACGAAAAAACTCTACATGAAAAATTAAGAAAAGGCAAAAATGTTGAAATTTGAATTTTTTAAAATGTTGGATTGGTAACTCTTGATAACTACTAACTCTCAGAGCTTTGAAAATTCCAATTTTTGAAAATAGTCATCGGCCCTCTTTCGCTACACATTCTCGCTAATGAATACATTCACTCTCAAAACAAGTTAGGTACACAGACAAAAACTATAATTACTAGTTAAAATTTAAAGAATTAAGAAATTAATAGGACCAACATTCTATCAAACCGCATCGTAGAAAATTTATTCAGCCATCGGCCCCCTCCCGCTACACATTCTCCCTAATGAATACATTCACTCTCAATACACGCTAGGTACACAGAAAAAATTATAATTACTAGTTAAAATTTAAAGAATTAAGAAATTTATTGGACCGACATTCTATCAAACCGCATCGTAGAAAATTGGAATATTCGGCCATCGGCCCTCTCACGCTGCACACTCTCGCTAATGAATACATTCACTTTCAATACACGCTAGGTACACAGAAAAAATTATAATTACTAGTTAAAATTTAAAGAATTAAGAAATTTATTGGCCCAACATTCTATCAAACCGCATTGTAGAAAATTGGAATATTCGGCAATCGGCCCTCTCACGCTGCACACTCTCGCTAATAAATACATTCACTTTCAATACACGCTAGGTACACAGAAAAAAACTATAATTACTAGTTAAAATTTATAGGATTAAGAAATTTATTGGATCAACATTCTATCAAACCGCATCGTAGAAAATTGGAATATTCGGCATTCGGCCCTCTCACGCTGCACACTCTCGCTAATAAATACATTCACTTTCAATACACGCTAGGTACACAGAAAAAACTATAATTACTAGTTAAAATTTAAAGGATTAAGAAATTTATTGGACCAACATTCTATCAAACCGCATCGTAGAAAATTTATTCAGCCATCGGCCCCCTCCCGCTACACATTCTCCCTAATGAATACATTCACTCTCAATACACGCTAGGTACACAGAAAAAATTATAATTACTAGTTAAAATTTAAAAAATTAAGAAATTTATTGGACCAACATTCTATCAAACCGCATTGTAGAAAATTGGAATATTCGGCAATCGGCCCTCTCACGCTGCACACTCTCGCTAATAAATATATTCACTTTCAATACACGCTAGGTACACAGAAAAAATTATAATTACTAGTTAAAATTTAAAGAATTAAGAAATTAATTGGATCAACATTTTATCAAATCGCGTCGTTAGGAAAATTGGAATAATCTGCCTTCAAAAGTCATGGACTCATATCACTTATGCCAATCAAATCGGATCTTGACAATCATCTCCAATTAAAATTGCCTTCAAATGGTTGAATTAAATTTTATTACCAAATTTGGTTACTACACCTAAGTCATTAATGCTAAATGAATTGTAAATTGTTATTTATGTAATGATATTGTTTGTTTGATAGTATGTTGAGTGTTTATCGGCATTTACGACATTACTCATGTATGAATAAAATAAAATAAAAACAAAAAGACTTTTCTGACAGAAAATTCAATTGCAACCTGAAGACATGTGGCCTCGAAAACAGTCAAAAGTCCGAGGTCTGGACTTGGAAAGGCCAAGAAAATTGGGTTAGTTGGTGTTCAAAACCCGTTTCGAAATTGAACTCCAGGGATATTCCATTGATTCGAGAGGAATGGAAGTCTTGAATAGGCAATTAAATACACTTCCTGGTGTTGGCGATGACAACCGGCGCGGGACAAAAATCTTTCACCGGCCGCTTTTAAATTCTCCTAAACTAACGGTTCCTGAGGAGGCCTATTTATTTTCCGAGAAGCTCGAAAAATATTAAAATCTATTCGGGTATTCAGATAATGGGACTTAGTGATCGGAATATCCGGTTTAATTTAAACTTTAAGTTTTTATCGTATATTATTTTTAAATGCACTAGTTTTCATGGTCCACTTGACCAATTAATATCTTTCAATTAATTAAGATAATTAATTTTGAAAAATGGCAAAAAGGAGGGAAAATTCAAAAGGTGGGGTTGAGATGGGAAGTTAGTGCCCGAGTGGGTCGAAGACACGATAGTTCAAGTGGTTAGAGCAGCAGCGTATTGAGCCAAAGGTCGCGGGTTCGAATCCCGCTCGTGACACTGACTTTTTTATCTCAACTAAAAACCTTAATTAATTGAAACTTATTTAAAAAAAATCTTGCTCATTGTACTTTCGAGTTATTAATACATTAAATACACTGCCCATTAAGAAGAAAAAGAAAAAATATCGGGAAAAGAGGAAGCTTATTCAAATTTCCTATTGATTGCTATAGGGTGTCGATCCAGGACATTTCCTGGCTCCACAGCTTCATTTGATGTTTTTGAGTGAGTTTAAGTGAAAGAATTAACATATTCCCGAATTTTTGAATGAAAGAAGCAAAGAAAATATTTTTAAAAAACCATCTGGTTTAGAGTAAAATTTCTTAAAAACCTAGCGCAGGTCTGTGACTTATGGCGGTCCAGTGGAAACACAGACGCTAAGCGAATAAACTTAATGAAAGGACACACTAGACTTAAAAGGCTGAGAAAATAATCATATCCAAAGTTGGCCATTTTTTCATGCAAAAACTAGGTGGGCAGTTCATAAATAATGTCAGGAGTACCTTAATTCCTCTGCTCATCAAGAACTCATGATTTTTTTCGAGACTAAATATTCCACCATTGGCACCACATTCTATACATTTACTCTAATAAATACATTCACTCTCTCAATTTATATAAAAGATAACGAAAAACAAGTTATTGACAATATACGATTAAAACCAGTTTTCTCTGAGAATTATATGGGACCCGAAGAGTCGCTGACAGGCTCAAGCTCAATTCTCATATCGAGTGGCATTCTGCATGCTTTATACAGCGGTGTTGACTTAACAAACTGGATTTCTTGAAAATTTTATAAGAAAAAAAAAACGAAAAAAAACAGGATTCGAACCCAAAACCACTAGTTGTTGCAAATTTGAGCAAGAACTGGAAAATAATATACACCTTATTTGGGCCACCAGTTTTGCCCTGCATTCACAATTTGTCTCAAGAAGCAGTTTACGTCCTGCCAAGCTTTATTCCTTGCAAAAATAAAATTAGTGAAATTTTGTGAACCGTCTCTGGCTATCCTTCGATTTTTCTTCTAAAATACAGAACAGACTTAGTAATTTATTCAGTGTGTAAATTTATGAACATCGGTTCTAAACAAGAAAAGAAAGATTTAAAAAAGTAGTAAATGGGTCTCAATGATATATTTATAGTCACTAAAATTCTTTCAGAGGTCCAAGTAACCATGAATTGTCTGTCAGAAATATATTTATTTTAATTTTATGTCATGTACCATTTCACCTAAATGAAAATGTATTTTATTATTATTATTATTAGTCACTGCAACGTGCGGAGCAGTGGTTGAAAACAACATTGTTTATTTTATAAACCCTGGCTTTCCTGGCTTGACTCAAGGTTCGCAAGAATGCACTTTATTAATCAAGAAACTGGCTCCTGAAGTGACACAATTCAGGCTTGACTTCATCCATTTCAATTTGGTAAAAATCCAAAAGAAATAAAAATACTTTTTTTTCCAATTTATTACATCTAAATATTTTCGCAGGGACAGCCCAACAGAAAAACTGGAGTGTGTGATTCAGACAGGTTTCGGGTGACTGGTGGGAGTTCACACGATATAAATATTTGCGGGCAAAATTCAGGACAGCATTGTAATATAACTGGGATCATCTGTTTAATTAAATTTACTTAATTGTTTTATTTCTATTATAGTATACTTTGATGTTGAGAATATAAAAGATCCGGTTAAAATTTCAATGAACCTTTCTAAATCAGATCTCTACCGGATCTGGGAGATAAAGATCACACAGATTGAATTTAACAGCAGAGCACCGGCAGGTTGTGATCAATACTTCCTCGGCGAAAAAGGTTGGCAGATCTATCGTAACTCAGTTGACATCGTCATTGAGTCAATCTACTGTAATAATATGTTAAAGTGAATGTAGGATATTTCAGGAGTAATCCAGACAATGAATTACGCCATTAATGGGAGGCATCTAGCAGATCAAGATTACAATATTTGTATCAGACAAGAAGAAAGTATGTTGAGGATTAATTTAAAAAACAAACTCAAAAAGTATTTTTTTAATGTTCTTATTTGACAGAGATGTGCTCTATTGTTTATGAACCGTGTGATGACAATTCTTTCAGAATTGGACCCTCTTATAGCCAAGACGGTAAGTGTTTTAACGTTATTATTGTCAGTTTTAATAAAGGTATGATTTTTTTTAGATGAAGGTTCTGGTTCTGGTCCGATCTCAAATTCCATTCGGGACAGCTCTCCGGATCTGTGTGAAGATAAAATAGTCATGGCATGTGACACTGAAGATTTTATCTCTGTGAGTTTAATTTTAATGGTTGACTAATTTAGCTCATCAATGATTATTAATATTTCAGCCTGTGGGCAGTCCTGGCCTCTGTGATCTGCTGCGTTGCGGTAATACCTTTTGCAGCGGAATCGAAGGACCTTGCCGAATAGAGAGTTCAGTGATTTCTCTTTGAAATTGTACAATTTATAAATAGCCATAATTAATGTTATTTTTGTTTTACTAGCGAGCACCAAACCTTTCAACATTCGGGTGAAGTTTGGTCCTGGATCCAGGGAAGAAAGCCCGGAAGACAACATAGGAATGTGTTTAAAATATGAACAACAACCGTGTACATGAGTGACCTTTCCAAATCCATAAAAGTTGGTCGTTATTTATTTTACATAAAAAAAAGACATCGAGTTAATTTAATGAACATGGCTGAAATACTGTTCTTTGTGCTACTTGTTTGCTAGCCAGTAGATTAATAGATGCATAATTTATATATTTATGGATTATTGCAAAAAATTCTAGATAGTAATAACCTAGTCTTTTAAATATTTATTATTTGTATTGATTACTGTAAGATTTTCATGAACTAAAATAAACATGTTAATATAATGTCATGGTATACTTCTTTCTCATTTCTAAGTTAAGTACTACATACACAAATTTGAAACTGTCCTCAAAAGGTCATAGTATTTCACCACAATATACAATTACATCTTTTGTACCTCTTTTTCTTTTTCTCTGAATACAGAATTTCTTTCCCATTCGTAAAGCTCACAGCAACTACCAACCTTCTTTCTGTGATGTTCAAAATCCTCAAAAGACTCATTAAAAAAAATTTAAATCCTAGATTTACATAACATCATTCCTTCTTGCCAAATCAGCTTCCACCTCCATCATTCAAGCAAGAGTTCAGTTATTGACACCATTTTGTCAGCTCTAGAGGTCTCCTAACCTCTTTGCTTAGGTTTGACTAGGGATGTAGCCCAGGGTTAGAGGTTAACTTAACCACTCCACACGTACACTTTATAACATTATCCTTGAATCCTATTTATCTGACTGCTTATTCAGAGAGAGGTGCGGCAACGAGTACTGGCCATACAACCCTGTTTATCATTTATACTACACTTATACAGAAAACAGAATAACAAGAATATAACAGAAGACCTGGACAACTACATGAACTTCTAGGACCAAAATCTGTTATTGACTTTTAATAATACTTCTTTACACAGAACTTTACTTTGAACACCTGACCATACAGAGTGGAAATGTGGGGTTCTGTTAAGTCATCTTACAACCGGCACACCCAAACCTTCCAATCAAATTTGCAGTGTTAGCAGTATCTAGTAATCCATCAATTTAGCCCTAACAAGTCTTAAGTTAATAGTTCTGCCGCTATACATCAACTGATATACTGATGTATCAAGTTAGATATTTAGTACGGGATGACAAGAACTTAACAGAAGGCTTGGACAACTACTTTACTTGGGCTATTAGGACCAAAATCTGTTATTGTCTTTTAATACTACTACTTTATAAAGAACTTTACTTTGAACACCTGGCCATACCGAGCAGAAATGTGAGGTTCTGTTAAGCCATCTTACAACCGGCACAGTAGCTATACATCAACTGATATACTGACATATCAAGTTAGGTACTTAGTACTCAGTATGGGATGACAAGAACATAACAGAAGACTTGGACAATTAATTGGGCTTCTAGGACCGAAATCTGTTTCGAACTTGTAAATCCAACAAACTCTGTTGAAGCCATTACTATGACCACTTTGGCCATATGGGGATATGTGCTGGAACTATTGGGTTCCATAAGCCATTCAATATCCACCGCATACAATTCTTCTCATCAAAAGTCAACAGACAAATTTAAATAACTATCCTCAATGACCTCGACATGCTTTCTATCAATGAAAAGATTCAACCCTGCTTCCAAAAATAACACTTGAAGATCTTGATCCTTCCTTTTCTGTCCGAGCCCTCTGTAAATTTTCCAACTATGTCAACATCATATTAAACAATGATTGCCTTAAAACTTTCTTTAATCCCTCATAATAATGTAATTTTGTTAACTAATAAAATATTTATCTAGAAATACAACAAAAAAATGATATGAGATATTTAAAAATTTATGTTTTCATGATACATTTTTGTATACAAACCTTATACTTACTGCGAATTTGTTTAAAACATTTGTGTACATCAAAATTTATGTTAATCAAAAAGGTTAAGGATTAAGAAAAGACAATGATTTATTAAGAATTGTATTTTAATTTATTGTACAGTAACAACTTGTTAATAACGTGTACCTGCTTGTTAGTTTTGGCATTGAAAAATATAATACTATTTTAACAATTGTCTGAAGCTAGAAATCAAAATGCGTTTTGAACATTTATATATTTTTTTTTCATTCATAATTTGCATTCCTTGAAACCATTCTTTTATAATAAATATGAAAGTGACACAAAGAAAAGGTTGAAAACTGCTATATAAAATAACGTGTGTTAAGTTGTTATATAAAAGATTGTTCAACTGTCGTACAGTCCAAATGTTAGATTTATAAAATATTTCGCTTTAATTTCACAAAAATAAAACTTATTACAACAAAATAGTTTCTTTTCAACATTTCCAACATCAAAGGCAAACATTCGTTCAACAAGAGATTTATTGAGACTTATACAATCTGAAAAAAATTAATTAAATTGGTGACACCATGGTGCTACTTATGAAAAATTAAAGCAGAGGCCTTTCTACTTATAGTAAAAATGTATATTGCCACATTTGTGAAATACAGAAAGCACTTCGGATTCTCATATTGTAATAAATTTGGGTCCACACCAATAAGATTAATAAAACACTAGAAATATTACATCACATCATGGATGACAGTTATGATAAATCTGTATCAAAGAATTACTTTTTTTTTGATGTGTAAGAATATTTTCATTCACCAACATTTACTCACAATAAAACTAAATAAAACGCATATTCAAATGTCCACTTATTAATTTCAAGCTGGTAATCATGCGATTACATTTTTTTCCCTTAACGAATGTTAATTTTCAACTCTACCTGATATATTTTTTTTTAATATGTAAAAGTTGAATGTAAGAAAATAAATTTACAATCTGATATATTGTAAATGACCTCATTAAAAAAGCTACTAACATCGTAAATGTTTTAGGTTGACAGCTTTTGGTATATATAATTATTTATATATGAATTTATCCCTAAAGTTACACATCAAAATTCAAAAGGAAGTTATTAATCAACACCTTTTTAAATCTAGGTATTAATAGGAAAGAGCGTTTCTAAAAATATAGATTAGGAATAAAAATATATGTGTGTTTATTTTCAAATGTTAACTGTGTTTGTTCATTTAAATGATAACTACAACATATTGATATGTTCTTTAAACAATTTCAATAATATGGTTTTTGTTATAACTTTTTTTTAATATCATTTCTCTACCTATATAAAAATGTTTATTGTACCTTAATGAGAATTTTCTATTACCCTATGGATTATAAAATATTTAAAGATTTGAAGCCTATTTTATTAAAAACTGTTCTTCTTTTGTGTGTCTGGTTTCTTTGTTTATTTGACTAGTTTAATTAAAAGAAAATTAGCATTTTAAATATGTTACAGCTTGCTTATATTTCATATAGTTTTATTGTTCGACATTATTGTTATACTATACATGCTTTCTATTACAAATTGTAAAATATAACTCTCCTCGGAAAAGGAGCAATCTTTCGTATATTTTCAAACTCAATATTAAAACTCAATAATTTTCCAACACATACATATAATGTAAAGACATCAACATTAAGGCAATACTGTACAAAATGTACAGGTATAATTTTTTTAAAGCCAACTGGAATTACCGAAGTCATTCCACAAATTTATTAATAATTTTGAAGGCAAGGAGGTAGTAACTAAAGTTTATTTCGAGGTGGGCTAAATTTCGGCTTAAATAAACTAATTAGAACTGCGGATAAATTTTAACAATTTAGAATTCCCTGAGGGGAGGGAGAATTATTTGGACCTCTTCATGTTAGAGATGTATGTACAAAACCAATTTCATTTAAAAACTCTGTCACAACAGAAGACATTAAGATTGTTTTTTTGTTTTTTTATATTTTTTTAAAACTTTATTATTCATCAATATTTAAGAAAGTATAGTCAAAGCATGATTACCTTAAACTAAATAATTTATTACCTTAAAATCTAACCCTTTATGTTTTATAAAATGTTGTAAAAAATAAATTAAAAAGTGATTTTTTTTACTACCTAAAAATAAATTTGTAACAATTTCATAATGCTCATTAATAACGTCCTTTAATCTCATGAGATGTTAACATTATAGTTATTATTTATTATTTAAATATATTAATTATCTTATTTATATTTAATTATAACTTACAGTATAGAATTTTTTAATTTGTATAAGTATTTTTTAATAATTTTTTTTATTTTTGCATTATATAAAAACAAATGTATAGAGCTGTGCACTGATCTAATATTCATCTACAGGAGGGAGAGGATTAGAGTGCTCTTGAAAGGAGACCGCTTCTAACGTGCATCAATGTACATGTGCTTAACTAATAATAAGTATTATATTTTATTATATTTTATGTATTTAGAACATAGTTTCACTGGTCATAAGAAGAAGTAGTCTAAATCTATTTGGATCTTACCCTCATAAACCAGCCTACTCTAGGATTACAGGGTTTTGGTCTTTTCCCTATCACAACTAAATTACTAGACATTTCAATGCCTTTTTAAATATAAATTTTATTATGTTTTGTTTTAATCATCTTAAAATCATTCATCACTCCTTTTACATTTCCATAGAATTTAATGAACAAAAAAAAATTGTAAACATTTAGTAGAAATTTAACGAATTTGATTTGATCACTGATAAACTATTACATTAATGGCAGATAAAAAATTATGTATTTATGTCTAATGCTATTGTTCCCCCTGAAAAAAATATTACCGCCTATAAAACATTTTAATTATGTTTAATTTATTATTTCATAGCTATTCGCCTAAGTTTTCCTCATCCACATTATGATTATGTTTTATTTCACCTTATACGTTCAAGCTATTCAATTCTACGACTAAGGACTTTATTTTTAAATAATCATGACTGGTTATTTTATTAATTTATAAGTAGAATTTTTTTTTAAATTTTGTAAAAAAATATTCTGTTGTACAGAATGTTTTAATTTATTATGAATAACAATAAAAACTTGGTTTTTATTAATTCACCTATTTTGTCTATAGTTAAACATATATTTGATTAAAGTTAATTGTGACATCTGCATTTATTTATTTGACTGCTCACAGAAAGGAATTCATTCTAATCCTTCATCATTGTACTTTACAATATTTTGTTTTCTTCCATAAAATATATAAAATGTGAACTGATTTTACAAGATTTGAATAAGGAGAATAACATTTATATAAATACATTTAACATATTGTAAATAATAAACATTAGACCAGAAGTGTGACGCAAATACTGAACCATTTCATATTTTTCTATCTATTTTGCCACAGTTTCAATAAAATAATTTAAAAATTATATGTTTTTTTGTAGATTGAGGAAAACTTTAATGATCTTTTTTAATGTTAGCTTTCGCAAAATTACCAAAATATTTTGTCAACTTGTACATCATGCATTTTCAACTATTCATATAAGTTTAACTTATTATAATATAAATATTGCAGAATAACTTAAATATAAGTTTATTTTATGGTCCAAGTGTAGAGAATGTTGCATTTTGTGATATGTTACCCTTTCCTTTTGACCTTTAAAAAAAAAATTAAAATAAAATAAATAAATAAAAATAAAGTCCTCAGCTAGAAGAATTAATGTTGAATTACGTGAATTTAATTAATACCACTATCACTCATTTTTATTTTTAATTACAACTTAACAATCGTACAAAATATAAATGGGAAATATCTGACGCAGGGTGAAAATATATTCGACTGTATTAGAAATGGGAAGATGTTGCGCAGTAAAGTTCCTGAGCTTATGTTTGGTGCAAAACAGCTTCGGTTGTTGGTTTGCGAATGAGGTGTGTAACTTGGGCTAGGCTGGTCCGCCAGATGATCCCGCTTCCGGTTTCAACGACTCCGCTTTCACTCCGACTCCGTTGGGGTTCAGTGTCATTGTCATTTCAACTGAAACAGTACAAACGCGTATATTTAGATTTACATTTTTTTAAAATGGTTTAATTACATCTAAAATCCATACAAAAATATATTCTTATAAAATCAAAGATGCTTTTATACAACTATTTACAGGTTTTTATTGAACACGGTTACTGTAAACAATGTACAATTTTATTAGTATAACAAAAATGAGAAGTAATTAAAGTTTTCAAGAAAAAATTTATAATAAACTAAAACCACTCCAATTTTGTTGCCTTGAAAGTATTACCTTAGTAGACGAAATGTTAGGGTCAGTGGAAATACAAGATAAATATTAGTAAATATGCCACATTAAACAGTAAAAAGAATAATTTTTAATCAAAAGTTAATATGCACAGATTTAACCTGAAAGGTGCAAAAATAGAGTTGTAATGTCTAAAGAAATATTTAAAAAAATACATTTAAAAAATTAATTCCAATTTTGTATTGTTAAAAAAATGCTGCTGATTTTTTTTTAAATCTTAAACAATATCGTAAGAAAACAGTTCAAAAGTTCAAAATTTCATGCTATTTTGTAATCAATTCAAATAGAAAAAGTCTTCTGTTTGCATTTCAATAGAATGAAATAGTAGATATGGGGAAATGAACAGTTTTTATTGTTATTGGGATATTGAAAAAAAGTGTCAATACATGCTAAACTTAGCAAATTAAAAATTTAGTTGTAATTAAATTGAAAATTTTAAAGCGCTTTTCAATATTATCTCTTGAGTTATGTCAAATGAGAAAAACACTAAAAAACATGAAAACTACACAATATTTCAAATAGGAATGAATCGGGGATTAGTTTTAGGACTGGGAATTTTTATTTGCGGTATTTTTTTAAATCTCATTTTATTCATCCAGCTCATTTTTCTAATGCTGTAGCCAAGTTAAATTCAAAACACTTAGGTTTTGGCGTTAAGGTTACCGACTCTCTCTTTCTCTTAGGGCCTCATTAGTCAAGGATAAAAATAAACACACAAATGTTACTTACATAAAAATATATACATTTAAAAACAAGTTAGAGAGGAGTCTAGACGACTTGATATTCCTTGGAGTAATTGGGAATAAGTCCTAACATTCACATACCAGACTTTATTCATACTGCCCAAAATATCCAAGATTTCTCAGGGTAATTGGGTAATAAGTCCATCCATTCACGCTAATAAATTACATTCTCACACCACACTTCATTACAAAATTACACTCAGAGATAAAAATAAGATCCACATTCATTCCTTTCATTCAAACCAATAAATACAGACATGCAACCCAAATCTCATTGATTTAAGTCCGAGTCCTCAATGAATAAAATAATAGCATTCTGGCTCCTCCATTCTCACTAATAAATACATTCTTTTCAATAAATTATAAGACAAACTTAAACACTCAAAAATTTACAGTTTAAAATATGGCCCTGAGATATTTGAACAGCGATCTGAGCCTATTGTTGGTCCAGGAAAATATAATAAAGGAATAGAATAATTTTGAAATCACTTGTGGTTATCATTTAGTTATTGTATACGCTGATATTAAAATAGGCTTGAAGAGTGACAAAAAAATAATTTGTGTCTAAATATCCTTTATTTGCCTAAAATATATATTTAAAGCATAATATTTGTTACTTATGAAACTTAATTTAACTTCTTGTTTGTTCTTCTTTTACCACTTTGTAAACCAAGGCAATACACCCTTTAAAAAAATATCTTTGATGTAACTTAAATGAATACATTTTTACTTTTAAATCATATTCTTTTGACACATTTCAGATGATGGGCTTCTTTCTCCATTCCTTATTCTTTCTTTGCCTGCATTACAAAGTGATAGATTTCGTATTCCTCGAGTAGCATGTACTTTCCTGCATAACCTGCCCTGTATGGGCCAAGGGTACACTTTTTATTCAAATGGATAAAAAAAGAAAGAAATTTTGAATTCTGAAAACAAATTATTTCTGATTTTGCATTGACACAGTGAATTTAATTTAACTACGTTTCGAATGGTTTTCATTCTTTTTCAAGGCAATGCCTGGAATATGATTCTTTACATTATTTTAGGTATATTGTTTTTACTTTAAAATTTTTATAGATTTTAATTTCTTAATATTAATTTTTAATACTATGTGAGCAATATGAAATTGAATTTACAAGTTTATTAAGTTTTAGATTTTTGACTAGACAAAGAAATAGAAATTTTTTGTTCTTTAATGTTGAAAGACATTTTTTTACTGGAATAAAGGTAGAGCCCCTTTTGTCCATTTTTTTCCTGGTGTTAGCATTAAAATCGTAGTTAGTAGTTCTTCAGTTTTTTTGTTTTTTTCATGCTGGAAGGAGTAAAAGATTTCCAACTAAAACGGGCATCAAATTAAAGCCCTTAACCCATAATTAGAGTAGTACTGGCATAAAAAAATTAGAACCATTTGTCCACCGGAAAAGCGGCTCTACCTTTATTCCAGTAAGAAAAATGTCTTTCAATATTAAAGAACAAAAAGTATCTAGTCCATTGTCTAGTCAAAATTTTAAAACTTAATTAACTTGTAAATTTTTTTCGCATTGCTCACATAGTATTAAAAATTACTATTAAGAAATTTATAATAAACGATGAAAATCTATAAAAATGATGTAAAAACGAATGTAATATATGTAAAATAATGTAAAATATTCCATCATATTCCAGGCGTCGCTTTGAAAAAGAATGAAAACCATTCGAAACGTTGGCAAATTAAAGAATTGAGCACTACGCTGTGTTTTCTGTATGACTGCACATCCCACAACCCAACACTGTTGAATATAACAGTCATGAATAAAAGACACTGAATTTAGTGAACGAAGACTTATTTTATTTTCAAATACAACTTGTTAATCTTAATAATATAGTATAAACGGTAAATATCTGAAGCAAGATGAAATATTGCTTCACAAATGGGAAAAAATATATTTCAGTTGTCTGAGCTCGATTCAAGTTTTTGCTGGATAAATTATCAATCATTAAAAAATAAAAAAAAAATAAAAATTGAAAGCTTTTTTTGTCGATTTATGGTTTTATTAGAGCAATTAAGCATCAAATTGCATTCGTTTTCTATTATGTTTTTCTGATTTTTAAATTTTTGAATATTCCCCATAATGTGTGGTGATTAGTGACCGTTAGTCGGTGATTATTCGAAGATCATGAGATGCGGACTGGTGTGATGTAGGTTTCAGAAAAACATTTTCTTTATCGTGCCAACGTTTCGATCTTTATTGAGATCATCTTCTTTGATTGAATAAAAAATAAAATATATTTTTTGCATTGTATAAATTCACTTTTTTCACGTCCTACATGTATTTGTTAAATTTAAACAATGCTTGTAAATCCCAGGCCCTGAAGATGATCTCAATAAAGGTCGAAACTTTGTCACGATAAAGAAATGTTTTTTTGAAACCTAAATCACACCAGACCGCATCTCACGATTTTCGAATAATCATTCCCCTTAATCATTCTTTCTCAAATTCTTGTTTCTTTATAGATTAATTTTAGAATTTGACACACTTTTTGTATAATAAATTATTCCATTTGATAATTATCTAACTTATTTAACGTATAATAATGAAAACTGGAGCTGTTGTAAAGTCGTTTGGGTTTAGAGGCGAGAACTAGGTTGAAATCAAAGCAACGTTAAAGTAGGTCGGCCCGGCGCGCCGTCTGCCGAATCTGGCAATTAACCGAGGTCGTAAGCTTTCCGAAACGTCGGACGAAGTCTGATCCTCAGGGTGTTTTAAAGGAGAAAGCTCTTGACAGCATCTAATCCGTTAATCTTCCTTGAAATGGACACCGGGGGACGGCATTGTTCGCCCCGAGGCTCTGTTGTCCGATCAATATAAGCAACAGTCGTGGGCCGCTCGCGGTATCTAGTGTCTCTTAATATAACAACTTGTTGATACTTTTGTTCTCGATTTGTCCATCAGGAAGATTCCTGTTTAAAATGGAAGGGAGATTTCAAAAGGGCTTTTCAGTCCAACTGTACCAAACGGAAGGGAATATTCTCATTTCAAACTATGAGAAACACGAGTTATCTGTAACAAACACACAAACACTGACAGTTTTCTAAAATTCTAATTAAAAAAACAGAACTAGAAACTTTCTGTAAGATAACTAAATCAATGTATAATTAATACATAACATACTAGATACATAACTTTTGGCGTTACCATTTTGCGTCATCGATTTCAGAGAGTGCACGTTCGTTGGGTTAGGGATCTAGCTCAAGGAAGGGTTAGGTTAGTGTTAAGAATGAGTTTGGTTAGGGTAGATGTTGATGTAAAGTAGAGGGCTTTTTTCTTCAATGTAATTGTTACATTTTTACATTCAGTCTTGTCCTTCGCTTTGTGAGAAGCTCAAGGTGTTCTATGACGTTGGAGATTGCTTGGATTAGGTTAAGAAGACGACATTGAGGTATCATCTGCATCGATGGTAATAATGTAGACTAAAGTCATCAGTGAAAATTGTATAGGGGGGGGACAATGACGCCTATGACATGTACTGCTACTTAAGAAAGCACATGCAGTACAGACAGAAGAAACACTGTGCAGATACTGCCAGGAAGAGGAGGAGGCCGCAGAACACATTCTATGTTCTGTGAAGGTCTATGTAGGTGCAGGTTCTTGCAGTAAATAAAAACCAAGGGACAAGAAAAACCACAAGCAAGATCCTACACCAAGGAGACGCTGGCAAAGCTGTGGTGGCTGGTTAATAACCTGAAGCTGGCCAGTGAGTTATAAAAAACATGGGAGCACAATAGATCAATTCAGGTCGAGGTGCAGTAGGCATTGTGGCAGCTTCTTTTATCCCTATCCCTTGGGTAGATAAGATTAGGCATAGGGACGAGTTAGCTTAAGGTAGGGTTGGTATGGTATGGTATGATGATAAGGATACTAGGAAGCGGGGTTTGTGCTACCCAGGAACTGCAGCTTTCTGGCTTATTGTACCTTCCTAGTTCCTTAGTTCAGAGCAATAGA